TAAGTAAATAAATAAATGAATGAATAATAATAACAATAAGATTGATACCATTAAGAACCAATTGTTCATAGCCCATGGGTTTTTTCCAAAAATGGCTCCAAAATCGCCCCCCAATTTTTATTACATTTTCTGATACATATTGATGTCCTTATGCTGTGTAGAAAGTTTGAGTTCATTCTGACTTTAATTTTTCAAGTTACGGCCATTTTAAGAAAATGCCAAAATTTTGAAAAGTACCCAAGGCTATATAGCCCATGGTTTTTTCCAAAAAATGGCTCTGAAATCACCACCAATTTTTATTACATTTTCTGATACATATTGATGCCTTTATGCTGTGTAGAAAGTTTGAGCTAATTCCGACTTCAATTTTTAAAGTTACGGCCAATTTAAAAAATTGGCCAAAATCTGAAAATTTCCCTGTACTATAGCCCATGGTTTTTTCCAAAAAATGGCTCAAAAATCACCCCCAATTTTTATTACATTTTCTGATACATATTGATGTTCTTATGTTGTATAGAAAGTTTGAGCTAATTCCGACTTTGATTTTTCAAGTTACGGCCAATTTAATAAATGGACCAAAATCTGAAAATTTCCCTGTACTATAGCCCATCATGCTTTTTTCCAAAAATGACTCCGAAATCACCCCCAATTTTTATTACATTTTCTGATACATATTGATGTCCTTATGCTGTGTAGAAAGTTTGAGCTAATTCCGACTTCAATTTTTCAAGTTACGGCCATTTTAAAAAAATACCAAAAATCTGAAAAATACCCAAGGCTATAGCCCATGCTTTTTCCAAAAAATGGCTCCGAAATCACCCTCAATTTTTATTACATTTTCTGATACATATTGATGTACCTGACAGATTATTTCAATAGCTTTTGCTGGATACATGTTCACAAATATTATCCTAAATGGTGAGTTCTACAAAAATAATGAATTAATTATTACATATGTGAACAAGAGATAGGAATTTAGATAATGATCAAAACAAGAATTCAAAATATTTTACCCATTAATTATCATTAATTATAACTACTCAGGTATTTAGGGAGTGCCAAGATTAAGTTCACAACATGATAATAAATATTTGAATTATCTTAAATATGCTTATGTTAAAGTACATCATTATCATATTATTATTATCATATTATTATCATATTATTATTATCATATTATTATCATATTATTATTATCATATTATTATTACGTAAAGACTATTGACAGTAGCCCTTGGATTCTCAAATTCTCCAAATGCAAAGTTCCTAGCTTCTTCAAAATTGTTATTCAGCACAGCTTGACTGAGTTCAGAATAAACCTATCAAGTGTAAGGGATCATATACAGAGAGTACATGAGTCAGTGTGGCATGAGAATGAAAAGTATGAGGAAAAATAAACAGAGAGAGAGAGAGAGAGAGAGAGTACATAAGCCAGTGTAATTAATATGAGAATGAGAAGTATGGGGAAAAAGAAACAGAAAGAGAGAGAGAGGGGGAGAGAGAGAGAGAGATAGGGAGAGAGAGAGAGAGAGAGAGAGAGAGAGAGAGAGAGAGAGAGAGAGAGAGAGAGAGAGAGAGAGAGAGAGAGAGAGAGAGAGAGAGAGAGAGGTACATACTGCTTGGAATAAATCTTGCTGTGATGTTATGGCAGCTACTCTAGTCCAGCCATATTTCTTCATTAGTGCAATGATACCCTCCACTGCAGCTGTGTCTACTGAAATACTCCTTAAAAAGGTTGGATACACAGCAGTATTGGATAATGAGGGACTAGTAGCACCTGCTGATATCTATATCAGTGAGATATTAATAAGATATTCGTATTAATGAGATATCAGTGAGATATTAATGAAATATCACTGAGAACAAGAGACATGAAGATGATGAACACAAACGTAACACCTCCACATGTCATTAGACCACACACACACACACACAGGTAGTTGTACATATATACAGTGGGTTCAGGTAGGGTATATGATTCTTACTAGTACAAGGTTCCAAAAGTGAGCTAGTTCAGCCACTGGTGATGTAGATGATGAACAAATAGGACCAACCATTGCTATCTTCACTGGCTCTTTGAATATAACATCAATAAAACTCCTAACACCTGAACTATCAGAACACTAAAAGAAATGGACAAATATAACAGTCATCATCATCATCATCATCATTATTATTATTATTATTTATTTCATAGTTATTTGGCACTTTGTGTGTCTTAAGGTAAATTCTTAAGTAAATCCAATCACAGTGATGTTATTACATACACTCAGAAATATTTACTAAAATAACAACTTAATGACACGTAGGATTACAAGGAAATATTCTCTTACAATAACACACCTATACAATTACTGCAACATACTGAAGGCTAGACAGGACAGACTAATCATGATGCCATATCAAGTGTCCATGACTGATCTGGAGTTAAAAACATGTAACATAAAGAGGGCAAGAGTTTAATGATCCACTACAACCTAGCACAAACTAGTAATGAGAGCCTGCATGGGTTGAGGTGGGATTGGGCAGTCTAGTGACTCCAAACTGCTACCATTGGATATATTAACATTAATGTCTGTGTACATAGACACTCCATTGGAATAATGTAAGACTGTGTGAGGAGACATGTTGCATAGTTCATTCATCTTGATGATTCTCACACATCTCATCTTATAAAAGAACATGAACCACAAACAGTCCCACAAAAAGAAAGATCTTATTGTCAACATAAGATGGAAGAAGATATGCTAATGCATGGAGGAGTGGAATACATGCAGAATTTAGCAATAAAAAAGTTGTTTTAGACTTTAAGTACATGCAGTTGCACAATACATGAGCTTATCATAATAATTATAGGAGATCATAATAATTATAGGAGATCATAACAATTATAGGAGTTTAAATATAAAATTCATGCAGCAAACAGCACTGAGCATATGACAACAGATATAGTTAGGATGGTACATGTACTTACTGCAGAATCATTAACAACAGCTTTGAGAGTATAGCCAGGAAGAAGGTCTGTCTTGTTATTGATCAGTTCTAGGGAGATGTCCATTGCAGGAAGATAAGCATGTCCATTAAGATGAACAAATGAGAGTGGGAGCAATACAGAGAGAGTTAATGGAATAGATCCATTAGAGCCAGCAACAACAGCAGAAGATGCAGCAAAAAGAAGAACAAGAATAATGGGAGACATTTTATGAGTGAGTGTCCTTTTAGGATAATACTACAACCTGTGAGCATTTGTATTTATAATATTAATGAAGTAGGTGTGGCTAATGTACACCCACTCTTTTAATTAAATAATGTACTGTCACACAAAATGTTCATTTGATGTCATCAGATCCACTGGTAAGGGGGCCCTCCGGCTGAGAAGGAATTTGAGAATCAGAAGAAGAGGGGGTCACGATTAAAGGGTCTTTAGATAAATCCTCTTGTTTAGGGTAGATATTATCAGACCCTCTTTCAGGAGAGAGAGAAGTTGCTGATTGTACAGCTACTGATTGCCCAGGTTGGGCAGCCACTTTAATACAATGAGGTTCTGTTGTATTACGAACAGGATCAGCTACCATCCTCAGAGAAGGTGATGTTATTGTTGATGTATTGGAGTCACCATGAGGAATGTCAACGAGTCCCTTGGACAGTCTTTGTCTGTGAGTTAACTCTTCATCTTCAGTTATCAAGTCTTTCCAGGGATCAGCAAGTACCCACTCAAACCACTGATCATCACCTTCAGAACTCTCTATAGGCTCATGATATGGCCGCTTGCGTTTACCACGATAATTACCACGCCCTCTCCTCCCTCCTCTTCCTCTATTGTAAGGATTAGTCCAGTGATGCTGTTGGTACTGCTGCTCATAAGGATGACGATGATGATAATGATGGTGGTGGTGCAGTGGGTTGGGATGGTATGGTCCTTTGTAATATGATCCCGGGCCAACTGGAGGAGGAAAAGGAGGACCTCGTGAAGGAGGAGGGAAGGTAGTGTGGTGGTGAGGGGTAGGATATAACCCAGGCTGAGGGTAAGGAGGAGAAACGTTATCAAAAGAAATGTACTCCTCTGGATTGGTAGCCATTTTTATTTGATGTTTTCCGTATACTCAACTCAAAAGAATCCCGAGAAAGTATCCGGAACAAGCATGTTAAGGCATGGTCAAAGATTAATTAATTATTTCTGGCAGAGCCATTTGCCAAAAAAAGACTAATTAAATGTTATGTCACCTGAACTCTGCATTACAGCAGGAAGAGGCAGAGCTGTACAAATGTATAGACTATACAAAGACACTTCCAGTAGATTTCAGGCACATCAAAATGTCTTCAATTGGATTTCACTCAGCAGTGGAGTTTATTAACAAGCACAGATCAAGATCAACCTCACCTGCTGTGTCTATTCCTGACCAGAAACACAATGAGGAGGGGGAGATCAGACCTGAGACTCATGAAGAGGATACTAGTGGCAATAATACCAGCAGGAAAAGAGATACTTTTACCAAGTTCCATGCATCAAAGAAGAGGAGACTGTCACAAACTCAGTTAGATTTGAAGAAACACAAAGATCGCATACAGAAGTAAGCAACAGCTTCGGTTTGTTTATGTCTTTATATTAAAAGGGTAAAATCTCAGAACCTTCTACTTGATACTGAGAAACATAAGCTACAAATGGTGGTGCCTGAACTTGAAGTATGACCGTTTAGTTATCCTAATCTTAAGATTATTATTTTATTCCTGTCTTTAGTGTCTAGGGAGATGTGATGAATTAGAGTCAATTGAACTTTCAAGCTTTCATGAACTAACCAATGACATCGTACGTGAGACAAAAGGAAAATAACAAATTAAATGTATAAGAAATCCTTAGGTACAAGACGTTTGCAGCTCAGCACTTCGAGTATATTACGACTCAAAATCTTTGAGGGACAACAAAACTGTATCTGACTACATTGAGAAGGTAGTTGGAATATTTTCAACAATTAGCAGCTGCAGATTCTTCCATTAGGTGTTCTCTAGTGTACCCAGACATGTTTTTGATTTGCTAGACAAACAATCAAAAGAAAAGGTATTTTAAAATATAATTTCATGCTTTTTATAATGATGTCCATTGTAGAAAGATAAAGCTCATGTGCTGAAATGTACAGGTATGGACATTTTAAAACTTGATTTGATAAAACGTGTTTTCAGTTCTTAGAGCTAATAATTTGCCAGCTAAACAATACACTGGTAAAAACGTGTCACTAAATAATATTATTTGCCTGATGTACAGGTACAGGTGATGTTTATTGCATAGCTGGAGTTGTAGAGAAAAAGAATATTAACTCGAGAGCTAGCATCAGAAAATTGAAAGAGGAAGGATTGGTCAATCAAACTTGGCAGTCAACAGTAAAGTTGAAGACACTTGATCCTGATTGGAAGGAGTCATTTGAAATGTAAACAAACACTTACAAAGTCATGCTTCATCATAATATTCATTAATAGATCTATTACTGATTCACATCATCACTATCTTGTTATAGAACTATGGTAAGTAAATGTATATCATACATAAAATAATTTATTAAACAAAAGGGACTGTCAAAAAGATCAGGAAGGATTGGCAAAGTTTTTTCATAAAGAAGATCATTTTATTGGTCGTTGTACTTACTTGCTACATGTTAGCCCATTACTGTTCACATGCAGTATTAGTATGTCACTGTGTCTTAGGACATCCCTGCAAATGGAGAGGAAAAAACACTTGAGCTGATGTCTAAACGTTTGAGTGGAACTGTCACAATCTTTTTAAAAATAATAGGAAAGACAGTATGTGCATTCATAATACATTATAGTGATATTATTATTGTGTGGTGTGTGTGTTACAGGGTGACAAAGACTCACAGGAAATGTATTTGACACACAAGCAGTTACTGGAGTGCATCATTAGCAGTGAAAGTAAAGTACAGGCCCTCATCCTCCTCCTCCTCCTAACTGTATAACTCAATATATGTCCTTTTAGACTGATGAAGGTCATGTAGCTCACTGGAATTGTCAGCTACCTCCAGAAGCCGAAAAACTATTAGTTCAACATGGCTTACTCCATCACATTCCTCCACTTCAACATGCAGCAATGTCTGTACTGTACATGTACCTATGTTATGACTTTCTCTTTTTTATAGTCGACTTAACATTTTATGGAAATATCACAGAGTGTACAGAATTGAAGTGAATGCACTGAATGAGTTATTACGAATGATACGTGATCATGAATCAGGTGTGCATCACAGTAATGAATCAAGACTGTTTTGGGTTAGCAGTTATTGTCTACCTTATAATAATTTATGATTTCTTTAGATACATCAGCTCTTAAAAGATCTTGAAGAGATTAGAAATCACATTATCAATATCATGAAGTCACATCTTTTGTTTTTCAACAATTTCAGAACATTCAAGAGTATTTCTCTCCTGAAGGATTACCTACTGTGAGCTATTGTCTTTCTTTCCAATATATAACAATTGTATAGACTATTGCATAGCCTGTATCAGATCAAGTTAATCAAGGTTCATTTGCCAAAGGAGGAACATGACTTGAAAGATGTCCTTACCAATGCTATTCAGGTAACAGACCCACAGAATTTGACTAGTAACAATGATCGCTTTCTTTATAGATGGCAGTTCCACACTGGATGATTCTGTTTACAGCTAACAAGAAACACAACCATACCGTAAGTAACACACCTCAAACTAGAAACTGTTATGTTTGCTATACAGTCCTTGGAAAGTTCTCTAACTGATCTTAAAGAGATTTGTGCTCATTGTTTGAGGCAGTGCGAAAGAGCTTTTGAAACAGTTCATCCAATCTTTAATGGGTATACTCACTCAACATGTACTAGCATACCATGCTCTTTTTATAGAATTGGTGTTGATTATTTCTCGCCTTTTTACTTCAGTTTGCAAAAAATTGTAAGTTCATGCACAAATAATAATAACAATAATAATAAATTAATAATACCTAACAGCTCTCAGGGGATGCAGAGAGTCGTCTAAAAGAGAATGTATCTAGTGACACTGGTTTGTTGACTTACGTGATATACAGGACACTGCAAAGAATAGTAAATTATTCTGACCAAGTGAACCCAGTGTATGTGAATCACTCGTTATTGATCCTCCATCATTACTTAATCTCCATTCTCTGTCTGTAGGTTTCTAAAGAAGCAGAAGTCTTCCCTCTCCATTACAAAGTTCCATGACTGGTTTGAAGGGTATGTTAGTGGATGGTTTCATGCAGCAAGAGTTAGTCTGAAGGGAAGGATGGATAGGATCATTCAACTAGACACTGTTGTTGAAACCATTGACAAAGCACCTTTCTCATCTTCTGCTGTTGATACTCATGCAATATTCCTACAGGTAACTTCAGCAGTCGTGTATTCAGTGCCTAATTCTTATTCATAGATTGTGTCCTATTGGAAGGAGTTCAATTGGCCTGACAGAGGCCAGTCTTTGGCTTGTTTAATTACTGTTGTAGAGGTATAATTATTGATAATAATTGATTATAAAGTTCTATTGTATACAGAGTCTTTGTGAATTAATAACTTACTATACTCAGAGAATCATCTCAAAAGTGAAAGAGAAATTGGACACTGGTACTTTCACAGACCATGATGGAGGCATCATAATCACTAACCAGGTATAATTGAAGTATTTCAATTAATTTGTCATCATTATTTTTTCCAGCTTTGTGTTGCTCTTAACAATGTTCATCACGTCAGCTTTGTGCTTAAGAGTGTTAGAGATGAGCTAGACCTTGAGAGGTATTACAAGTGGCTGGATGAAGAGAAGCAACAAGATGGTCTGCCACTCAGCGAAAGAGCAGACAACATGATAACTGACCTGCTGAAAGTTGCCATAGAAGAAATGTGGAATAACATTGACCATATCATAATATTACTTAAAACCAAGGTATAGGAACATTGACCATGCAGGAATCAAGGATGACTTTTGATCATTGTTTTAGCTGTCACCTTCAGTAACTGGATTTATACCAAAGATATTAAGAGCACCTCTTAATGCTGATCCTGATCAAGTGAGCTACAATCTCCAGTATTTTATTATTAATTGGTACACTATACCTACAGGTCATTGAGCCACTCATTGAATACATTACTGACAGTGTAGGTAAACTAGGGGAGCTACTTCTAGCACCAATGTTCCTAGAGTAAGTCTTGCTGCATCATGGTCTTTATAATAACTGTCCTTTTAGTATACTCCATCATTTGTGGATCAATATTGTCGAGTCTCTTTTTCATTCTTATGATAAGATACAGCACACTTCAGAAACCCGGCCACTCCATATTCGCCTCAGTTTTGTCCTGATTCATCTTTCTGATTTCTTTGAAGCTGATGGAAAAGGCTTGAACAAAAGGATAATAGAGTCTGAACAATATTTGGTTTGTGGAGCCATTTAATGCTATAACAGATGCACTCTTTCCCATTATAGGCTCTTAAAAACAGCTTGTTTTATGCTGTTCAATCAACTGAAGATATCATCAAGACGTTTTGTTCTGATTTGGTGAGACAGCAGGTGGTTAATGGTGTGTATTCATCAGTTGCTATTCAAAGTTTCTCTTTCAGATTTCCTCTAAAAACGAGTTTGGACATCTCCACATAAGTCACATTTATCATCAAACTGAGGGAGTTCTGTCAGTTGAAATTTTAATGGCAGAAAATTTACCAGCTCTGGACAGAAATGGTTTGTAAGATTATAAGTGCTTCATGATTATGGCATCTTTTCAACAGGAAAGAGTGATCCTTTTGTCCAAGTATTGCTGCTTCCTCCATTTGTTTTCTCAGAAGCAAATAAAAGAATTCATAAAACTGAGACACAGAAGGAAACACTTAACCCTTTCTTCAATGAGACAATTAACTTGTAAGTCATATTATAATTACTGCTGATGAATACTGGTGATTACTGCTGATTTTATCAATACTAGGACCACAAACCTTGGAAGTCTCTTAAAAGATGGCTCAATACTTGTTCTTGCTGTTTTTGATCATGATACTTTTGGTAGAAATGATTTTGCTGGTCTCTGTGCCCTCTCCTGTGAGACAATACCAGTAGATCACAAAGGAATAGAGCCAAAAATGGAGCACCTGTACCTGTTTCACTATGAGAAGACAGAGGCATACAAGGAGCTTGAACTGAGACACAATGCTGACTCATTGGCTCATGATTTCCTTAAACTCATGAAGAAGTTTGCATATGATGGACAGACACACACAGGGCATCCTTTCCATAGACTACTGCACATACACTAACACTAGTTACTGCGTGGACCCCATCATGTATTGATACTATTGATACTATTAAACTGCTTAAGCTGTTTGAATGCTGGATCTTTGAACATTACCAGTTGCATTAACATGATTATCTATTGCTGCAGTATCATAAATGCATTTTGAATGATTTATACAACTTGAGCCTGGATCTATGATCACATTAGTGGTCTGTTTCAAAATTTAAATTTGATGTCATTGTGCTATATCTAGCTTGTTTAGTTTACGGAGATTAGATTACGGAAGCGTACAAAAGTCACGTGTTGTATTCAAAATGGCTGCATCTGGTGATTGGAGAGATGGTGGTTTGATACGAGGAATAGGCATACCCCCTCCATCAGGATCTTATAGAGTCGGGGTAACTCATTTCATGCACAAGAACCTCTTCATTCGTCTCTATTATCCTACAAAAGCTACCAGTGGCTACCAATACGTCCCTCATGTCTATAACTCTAGGTACAGGAGAAGTGCTCTTGATTTCTTTGGAGTCAAACTAGCTGGACTCGTATCAGCTATTGCTGGGCTAGTAATGGGTAGGTTATATTGATTAAGGTACATTGTTTATTATTTACAGATACCAGGATACCAGCTTTTTTAAACGCTCCTTTACTAAACACTGCCACGCCTACTGTTGATGCTCATACCAGTACCGATACTCATTCCCATACCACCACTGATACTCATTCCCATACCGCCCCAGTCTCATTCCCAGCTCTGGTATTCTCTCATGGATTAGGTGGTAGTTTCTTCTCTTATTCTGCTGTTTGTTGTGATATTGCATCCCATGGTTTCATTGTAGCTGCACTGGAACATAAAGATGGGTCAGCTTGTCTAGCCCGTCGTAGGGTCCCCCCTCCTCCTCCTCCTCTTGCTAATGAGGGGGAGGAGCCTAATTACCAGGAGTACCTCAATGAATGGATCCCGTTTGACCAGGGATCAAGATCAGACTTTGACCTCAGGAATAGACAAGTAAGCTTTAAACTAGTCCAGTCAAAAATGAAAAATAGAGGATTTTTAATTTTAATTACATTTCCTGGTAGATGATGTTAATTTCTTTCTTTAGGTAAAGGAAAGGAGTGTGGAGGTCCAACAGGCTTTGGATATTCTGCACATTATCAATGAAACTGGAGCTGATGGTATCGTTAATATGTTAGGAAGTGATGAAGGTGCTGGGTGTGGCTTAAACAATATCCTCTCTCAGTTCAAGGGACGCATTAATACTGAATTAGCAGCTGTGGGTGGTCACTCTTTTGGAGCAGCAACTTCAGTTCAAGCACTTGATGAAGACCCGAGGTTCAAGTATGTCCTTTTACTATATATGGATAAAGCTTGTTAGTTTAATGGAGAAGTACTTTATTTTTAGATTTGTGGGTTTAATTTGGCAAATTATGTTTAAAATTATAATTATTAGTGTATTAATTTGAGTAGGTGTGGTCTCCTTTTTGATATTTGGATGTTGCCACTGGGTCCTGAAATATTCAGTACGGGGGTCACTAAACCGGTTATTTTTATAAACTCAAGAGCTTTCACGGAATGGAAAGAGAACTTCTCCATTTTAAAGAAACTACTCAGACAGTCTCAAGACTCAAAAGAAGAACCAAACTTTGGTATGAACTATATAGTGCTATTGTCTTTATGAGTCAATCATTATCATCATCATCATCATCATTATTATTATTATTATTATTATTATTAATTATAGGGTCCAAGCTACACTCATTGTACACGATCAAGTGAGTTTTATTGATGATGAGGATACGGTATCTCATTATTGTTATTATAACCATACCTCCAGTGGTACAGTACACATGACTCAAACTGACGCTCCGTTTGTCCTCCCTCCTTCACTGTACAGTGGGGCTCATGGGGCAGGTCTGTCTCCAGTGACAGCTTATCATATAAACAGTGATCTCTCTCTCTCTTTTCTTAAAAGGCACCTCATGAAAGGTACTACTGACTGCAGCTGCACCTTGTGACTCTGTGTATCAATGAATGGAGTTGAAAAGCAGCTGTCATCCATTGTTGAATTGCCTTGATCTAATGCTTGTGTGAATGTGCTTTCCCTGGGTTATGTTAAATAATGAGATCATTCTCATTCAGCCATTGTATGGTTACTGTAAATAAATAAATGAAGTAATCATCATCATTATTATTATCATTGCTGCATGTTGTAAGGTATAATTATGATGTAACTGACACTTTACTAGCAATTACTTCCATATAAGGCAATGCAGCAGCAGCTGCAATAATAATGAGGAAATTGAGCAACCTCTTAATTAATGATGACTCGACATATTTTAATAAGTAATAGACTCAATTGCTTTAATCGTGTTTGTGTACTCATTTTAGCAAATGATACCTTTAAAATGATAAATTACACTAGATACATTTAGTAATATTAATCTATTGGTCGGTCAATTATATATTTATTTTCATTAACTACAGATATTGACTATCAGGGGGCCGTCCCAATATTGGATGGAGGGGAGGGGTCATCCGAACATGTTGTCATGGAAACTGTCACAGAAGAAGATGAAAGAAAGGAAGTTCTTTCTTTACTTTGAATAGCAGCAACAATTAATAATAATGAAACAATTAATTTTATATAATAATATAATTCTAGACAATAATTTTTAGCACACAGATATATTTATAATGCTACATAATGTCAATAAAACTTTAATTAAAAGTACAAGTGAGTGAAGTGACACACTTTCCATTACTTAATTAATCCTAATGTTACGAGTAAATGACTTAGCTCCAGTTCAAAGTGAATGGCTTATTAAGATTGGTTACGTTGACATTAATGAACAACACCTAATGAAAGGAAGAGTCACAATGAAGCTATACTGACAAATTATTAACACTTCAGAATAAGTAAATATTTTCAATAAGGCCCCTCCCATTTCTCACGTTATTAGTCCAGTTCCAGTCAATGACATCATCTCCAGTAACTCCAGCTGGTTCTTGGCTCAGTCCATAAACTGTAACTTCATTCATTGTACAATTAACAGCTGCACTGTACCCACCACTGAGGACAATAGAACTTAACTGCCCCTAATAATAATAATAATAATAATAATAATAATAATAATAATAATAATAATAATAATAAACCTTGAATTGGCCTGATTTTTTAGTAACTTTAAAAACTCATAAAAAATCTAATTTTGATCGAAATCAGCTCAAACTTTCTATGCAACATAAGTACATGTATATGCATCAGAAAATATCATTAAAATGAAAAATTCTCTACTTTTCATTTTTGGCAAAATTTGGCCAAAGTCCCTGTACTATAGTACAGGGACTTTGGCCGAATTTTGGAGCAACTTTAAAAAATCATAAAAAATCTAACTTTAATCGGAATCAGCTCAAACTTTCTACGCAACATAAAAACATGTATATGCATCAGGAAAAATTATAAAAATCAAGAATTCTTAACTTTTCATTTTTTGGCAAAATACCCCATTGCTGTAACAGATATACAGCAATGGGGTATAACATTAATTTATTTACCTTTTCGACATGAAAAGCTAAAAGTGTATAATGTCCATTCTCTATAGAATCCAGCTCCTCTCCATCATCAATAAACAGAGACCCATAACTCTCTCCAGTTGCGTTTAATGACACCAACAAGCTGTAAGGATTCTGTTTGCTAAATTAAATTAAAATGGAAGTAGATTTACATCAACATTACAAAGAGACACTTGTTCTATTTATAACAAGGCATTGTGTAAAAGGACATTTATATAAACATGAGTACAAAAGTGTGGGTGAGAAACAGAATGAGAGTAGCTGTGAAACGTTTCCTCAAATAAAATTAGACCAAAAACAAACATTAGCTCTCACCATCAAATAATGACACAATTAACATACACAGAGAGAGAGACTGAGGTACAACAAAGTTTAATAAAGCATAATGTGACACATACAACAAAGTTTAATCAAGTACTTATGTGGGTCTATTAAACATGTGTATGATCATATTCAACTTAATCACATGAAGAAGCTTGCACACTCTCAGTGAACTGGTTCACACAACATCACTGGCTGGTTCAATGACTGTCTTTAAAAGGCTCTGCTAGCTCATTGTTTAACACTGCAGGAACAGACTGGCCTGACTGACCTGATGCGTTACATCATAAGTTTAATTAATTAATAATTGAATGAGAGAAATACTATGTCAGGCATGGGCATGCAGCAAATTTTTAATTAACAATAATTATTAATTAATGTGTCACAAAATATAATAATTAGTCATGTGCACATTTTATTAATGAGGATATCCTGGGGAGGGTTCGTTGTTCATTATAATTTTACTAATAATACCCTAGTTACCATTCCCAGTGGTTGTGTACAGGTGTGCTGGTATATTTATCAAAATATTAAATTGAACTTCATTAGCTTTAATATAGAACCTCACACGTTAATAAAGTCCCTCTAGCTCAATTTAGTAAAGTTTAATAGTACACACGTGTTTATGAAAGGAAGCTACTTCAAGATAATAATGAGAAGAATTAACACAACAACACTGGCATACCCAACACATACACAATATAATTACCATACATTTAATGTACTCTTGATACAGTGTATAATCATTAGTTACCTGAGTGTGGTGGTAGTGTTTGGTTCTTGTTGAGGTATTATTGATCCTCCCAGTACATGAAGTGGAATATAATCCAATGGAGCCTCTAATATTACAACATACTGACCTTTACTCACAAACTCTGTACCCTACACACACACACACATACACATGTACATTTATGATGATGAGGGTACGTTTCTTACATTTCTATAGTCAAACCATCTTCCTTTAGGAAAGTAAGCTACCACACTTGTGGCATTCTATAAAATAACAACAACAACAACAACAATAATAACAACAACAAAGGCAGCCCACCTCCTCCAGTACAGGAGATATGAGGAGAGCCTTGCCCCACATAAACTGCCGAGCATTAGACCAAGTCTCAGTATCAGACGGAAAGCTGGTAAATAAATAAATAATTAATTATATATCATTAATTAATAATATACTTACACTGATAAAAGAGGTGTGGCTACCATTGATCCGTTAGTGTGGGCGTGATAGAATAGAGTGTATAAAAATGGGAGGAGCTTGTACCGGATTAAAAGGACATTCCGAGTCGAATTAATGACCTCTTCACCAAACTCTGTAGGATCTTGTGCCTAGTTATTAATAGTTATTAATAGTTATTTTAGTAATGGACACTTTGGTAGTGTCTCTGTTATACAGAGGTGTCCTTTATGTGGAGGTTATTTTATAGAGTAAGGAATGTAATTGGTACACTAGGTGCTGTCCGTTAAATGGAGGTGTACGCTATAGAGAGTGTCCATTAAGAGAGGCTATACTGTACATGTACAAAAATTAATAAATTAATAATTTCGTCCTTTGATTGGTACATACATGTACCTATATTAGTATCCAATTAATTAATTAAATTATTAATTCTTATATAGTAACATGTTACTAAATAAAGTCTATTGTTCAACTGAATACCAGAAGCACATTACTGCAGGTCAGTCTCCAATTCAGTTCACAGAATGAGCTGAAATCATGGGACCAACATTATACTATATACAGTGAAATTGGTGAAATGAGGAATTTATCCTTCAAAAGAAATTTGGATCAGTCATTAACTGAACAAGGTAATACTTGCTAAATGCAATGTTCATTGAATCACGAACAACTCATGTGCTTCGGGATTATAACAACATAGCAGACAGCACCTGTAACCCAGGCCCGTAGCCAGGGGGGGTTCGGGGGGTTCGGACGAACCCCCTGTTGTAGCTGCAAAAAAGTTTTAGATTAGCTCCTGTCATGAAGAACAGCACTGCAAAAGCAGGATTAGCATTTTGGCAACAGCGAGAAGCACAGATAGCCATTTTAGCTGAGTCAGCACATGGCTGAGATGCGTAAATTAAGACCACGCCTACCAACCACGCCCATTTTTGTCAAAATTTTCGCTGCGCGCTTTGCGCGCAGCAATTATCAAACCCCCTATTTTAAGTTCCTGGCTACGGCCCTGTAACCTCCACATAAAGGACACCTCTGTATAACAGAGACACTTTCAAAGTGTCCATTATATAGAGGCTACAGTACTTACTATCGTATTGTAAGAGTTATGGTTCCGAGAGAACGGATAGAAGGCCCCGACCTGCTGCCATCTCATGCAGAGTTGACTCGTTGTGTTGTCAAAAAACCCACAAATATCTGCCCCAACCTAAAGTGGGTGGAGTCAAAACTAATAATGGAGGAATGCATCAAAACCACTCACCAACGGAATACCAAACAGGGCAAAGTTGAGGATACCTGAGAGGAGAAAAAGTGCATTAAATAGAAATATGACACTAACCTGGTATAGACTGTCTGAGGTGAGGCCACTGGCTGGCGTTGTCCCCTAACCAGTGACCAGTGTACACCCCACTACCGGGGTAAGTGGAACGAGATATGACCAGCGACCTTTTATTGAACAAAGACTGAAGAGACCTAAAGCATAAGTACATCAATATGTATCAGAAAATGTAATAAAAATTGGGGGTGATTTCGGAGCCATTTTTTGGAAAAAACCATGGGCTATAGCCTTGGGTATTTTTCAGAATTTTGACATTTTCTTAAAATGGCCATAACTTGAAAAATTGAAGTCGGAATCACCTCAAACTTTCTACACAGCATAAGTACATCAATATGTATCAGAAAATGTAATAAAAATTGGGGGTGATTTCAGAGCCATTTTTCGGAAAAAACCATGGGCTATAGCCTTGGGTATTTTTCAGAATTTTGGCATTTCCTTAAAATGGCTGTAACTTGAAAAATTGAAGTCAGAATCATCTCAAACTTTCTACACAGCATAAGGACATCAATATGTAGTATCAAAAAATGTTGATACTTTTTGAAGTCAATTTCATACACACACATGTAGATGATTATGACCTTATAAGTGTATCAGATGCTGTATGTACCAGTACAAGCTCCTCTAATTGTGAACACACACACACTAGTAGATACAGCAAAGGATCAAGTTTTTTGTCAATAAAATTGTTACAAAACAATTCATGATTCATGTTACAAAACAAAATGGCAATCATTATATTAATTTCCTTCATCTGTTGCACAACAACACACACACAAACCATGGGGTCTATATCCTCCACTTATTACATAAAGACATAACAAAAACTCCATTATTTAAAATATAATATTTAATTAACTAATGAGCCACACCCACTAATTAATAATCCCCACCCACCTCATTGTCTCAATAGCCTCGGTGTGTCCATAAAGACTGTGGACGTTATAATGAGAGGAGAGATATTGGACCCCAGTCATGCACAGTGTCTTGTCCAGTATACTTCCTTGTGCCCTTATTGCAACTGTGGGGTGTGGTCAATGTGTTACCATAACAACCACTTACCTGGAAGGTAGGGTGGGTTGTTGAGGGTTGAGTTAGAGCAGCCATAGATTGATCCAGGGATGAAATTGGACGGTTCGTTCATGTCAATCCACAGTCCGTCGAAACTGATGTTATCATGAAACTGTGTGAGTGCCTCTAACCAGTAAGACTCTGTGGCCGGGTTAGTGAAATCTGGATATGCTGTAATTCCTGGCCACACCTAAGGGAATGAACAGGATGATCTGGTGCTCATTCTCAATTCTCTCATTCTCGTTCTAATTACCATTCCCAGGAGTGGTCCGGAACCAGTTTCATTCATTATAAATATTCTATCATCCAGTCCATCATCATATGGAGGATAGGTACCAGCTGGTTTTGTCGCCGAAATACCAGGATCCTATAACAGTTATTAACAGTTATTAATAGTTATTAATAAACTCACAGTGATGACTACATAGTGCTGTCCATGAGCGTGTAGGTTGTCCACCAGCTGGGGCATTGTTGCATAGCTAGTATGATTATAAGTGAAGTCCAGGTGATCACTCATGTAGTCTATATCGTTCCACTGGGTATCCTGGGGTATCCCATAATGCCTCATCCTTTCAACGACCTCTAGCGTCCGCTCTGAAGAGAAGTACCCCCAGCGACACAAGTGGAACCCTAGGGACCAATAGGGGGGCAGGAATGGGCGACCAATCAGCTGAGAAATAGACAGATCAATAAAGGAATAATTGAATTAGAATTTGATAGTGTACATGATGACATCATAATAACAAAGGTACAGGTAATGGGTGTGTTGCCAGTGTTTGTCAATATAATAAGTTAATATGTCTTTAAGTTCCTGTATACAACATGCATCTAATCATATGATGTCATTATGCAGGCACACGTACATGTACATGTACATTCTTTATATACCAATCAGTTATACAGAACTGATGGTTGGGAATTAATTAAGGCGGAGCAAGTACTGGTTGAATTGAATAGAATCAATTAGAGACCAAATGTGGTGCTTAGATCAGAAGTATTGCAGTACATGAAGGATAATGGTACAGTGTAGCCTCTTTATAATGGACACTCTCTATAGCGTACACCTCCATTTAACGGACAGCACCTAGTGTACCAATTACATTCCTTACTGTATAAAATAACCTCCACATAAAGGACACCTCTGTATAACAGAGACACTGCCTTGATATTTAGTGTTTGTTTGTGAATAAACTCTTCTCCCCATGTTTATTAAGTAAGTTAAGGATTTTCAGTCATGATCTGAAAAGCATATGATCCAATAAAAGGAAGTCACCCGTTAGTGACCGTTAGTGACCGTTAGTGATGTGGAGTGAAAATGTGACTAATTTCTGACTGCCTGCCAGTGTGTGCTACAGTAATCTTTCAACAACATCACATGCAACCAATTACTCTTAATCCAATTTAGTACATACTTCTATAATGAGGATATACCTTTATTAGATGAGGCCATTTTGTAAGGTACAATTAACCTATAAAAAAGTACCTCTGAAATAAGAACACCTTTGTATTAAGGACAGATAGTGTGGGCCCAATGGTGTCCTTAATAAAGAGGCTACACTGTACATGTATTCATGATCATTTCACATATATACATATCTAAAACCAACAGCAGTAACATTTTATCTCATTTTCTCTAATAAAACACACACAAAGCCACAGACATTAAAACCACATACACACAAGCAAGCAATACACATACATGTATATGTACACATGTTATGTGCTCTTGATGTACATGTATAAATGTGGTGGATATAAGCCGTACAATTGCTAGACAGTTCCTGTTCAGTATAGTCTTCATATCACAGACCAAATTACGACCACAGGAGGCACAGATACACTGAATTAAGTATCAAACAGATGTGGCTCTCTGTACAGGTATTAATGAGCTAGTTCCAGAGTGTGAATACACCAGACAATACAAAAAATGCTGTCATAAAAAGAACAATGCTATGACATATCCTGGAGCAGATGATGGAGGACTGAGCTCACTCGTTGAACACACACCACCACCACCTGCCAGAAACATGTACGCTAATACTCTTGTCACCTTAATATCTTAAATATGCAGCATATACCACTACTGCAGTTTTAATTCTTCATAAACTTACTGTGTCTGTGACAAAGGGAATGCATAGTAGTATAGTAGAGTAGTACTGTCTGGAAAAGCTATGAGCCATTTTTATCAAAGCGGCTCAGACAAATAGTTTACACAAGTACACACAACACAATGATCATCATCACAATTACGTATGACTCTGGTATGCGTCTCCCACCTTGTCTCCCTCCCCCTCTCTCTCCTCTCTCTGTCTGTCTGGTTGGAGCTTACTTGAGTGTACTGTGAAATGACATCATCCGGTGAAGGGCCGAGCAAGAAATAGAAATCAAGTACTCCACCAATAGTTCTATAAGTAATGGCTGGGTATGGTAACAGCTCAATTTCTATAGATAATAATAATAATAATATTATTATTATTAATAAATATAAATAATAATAATAATAGTTAATAATAAAATAAAAGGTATACAAAAAGGAAAGGAGTTCTTGTATCTCAAAGCTTCATTGCTACAAAAGTGGATGTTACACACAAGAGCTGGGTGATATAATTTATTGAACCATCAACACTACATTAACTGACAGTTGGACAGCTTCTAACTAATAATTATATAATTACATCAGTGTGACACCTGTCACCTCAGTAATGATGTACAACTTGTGTACTGTACAAAAAATAATGAATCAAAATAGTGATAATAATAATAATAATAATAATAATTAAGAGATTTAAAACAAACACATGCACAGTTTGTGTGTGTAAAGCAAAACCTTTTTTAGTAGGAGTCAGTTTCTATTGTAAGTTAAACAATTAAACATTGGTCTACTGAAACATCAACAACTAATGAAAGATCACTCATTATACACAGAAACTAAATCATTGCACTATGTCAGTGTTGACTTTAATCATTTTCCTGTTCAGAATATCCACGTGTACTTTCTACTGTATACTATAGCCAGCCTTGACCCCAGCAGCCTCAGATAAGAGCATCCTCTAGAGGTACACATGCAGAGTAGCTCTAGAGCTATTGCACAATGTACCCTTGAACTGTTGTTGTTTATAAGCAGTGTATAATCTGTTTAACTTTCACCAACAATCCCTAACAACTTTATACACTCATCAAATTTCAAGAAATCAAATTAGAAGGTTAATTTCAAAACCAGAGGAAGCTAGGAGACCTGCAGTCTCCTCTTGTTCTTGGTCTCTTGAAATCTCTCATTTTTAAGCTTTTAGTCTCTCATATTTAGCCCTAGGCCTCTTTAAGTCCCCTATTCTTAGTTAGTTTGGTCTCCCAACATTTACTTCAACCTAAAGACACATACCCATTGCATTGCTGTTCAATAAGAAGACGCCATGAGCCGATCCAGTGATGTTATCCATACAGAGATACATTGGATGGACCCCATAGAGGTTTCTTGTTGTCTAAAAATGAGATTATATTATTGTAAATAAACAATTTTGTTTATGTCATAATTGCAACGCTATACAAAAAATAAAGGTATTCAGTTAATTTGTTGATATTTGTTGTATACATTTACGGCTAATCGCTTCAATAATGTGACATCACACGTCACGATTTCTAAACAGCAACTGCTATACCCAAAAATGGTCCATGCAGTACTGAAGCTAAGGGCCAGAGACAAAACAGGCAAACAATAATAGTTAGAACAAAATTAATGGAAGGACTACAATGAGATCACTTTAGTCATAACACATTTCGTTCATTAAGAGCAGCATAAACATTCATACCTTCTACACTAAGCATATACATGTACAAAGTAACACCTATTGACAGTAGTACACACTAGGATCATGTATTTCTGTTATGGATCTCTATGGCTTTATATGTGGCAATGTGGTTCTATTAGAGACTATAATTAGTCTATGGTTTGTTAAAATGACACTATTCTTACATCTTTATTGTTGCATAGTAACTTTGAGTTGACTCAATTGAAATGGATTTTTTCAAAATTGGGCCAAAGTCCCTGTACTATAGTACAGGGACTTTGGCTTAATTTCGCCAAAAATGAAAAGTAGAGAATTCTTCATTTTTATGATATTTTCTGATGCATATACATGTACTTATGTTGCGTAGAAAGTTTGAGCTGATTCCAATCAAAATTGAATTTTTAAAGTGGCTCCAAACTTGGGCCAAAGTATAGGACACCAATGTTAATACACATACATGTAAATTGCTTATAAGAATCTTGTACTATTGAAAAACAGTTATTATATTACAGCTCTTACATCAAATACAGGATCAGGTGGTACATCACGTGAAAATAAAGTCAATTTTGAATAATTCATGTCTAGTCTCCAGGGGGTGGCGTGCTCCCCCAGCCCATATATATATGAAGAGGGAAGGTGAGAGGAAATCTGTAGGAACTGATCACTTACAACAAGACCAGGGGCCATTTTAAACCTGAGAGAGAGGGAGAGAGAGAGGGTATTTTAGAAGTACAATAGTGTGAGAGGATTGAATCCATATTTTAATTACAATTGACACCCAGTGACACCTGGTCTGATATGGTCATTCTACAGTGGTTAAGGAGACACTAGTCAAGCCCTACCTGTCACCTTGTAATGAATGCATGGCCTGATATAAATCTAATAATAAGGACACATGGCCAGGACCAGCTCTGATAAACACCTCTTCTTATGAAGAGAGTGTAATATGAACTGGATTCCATTATGCTTTAGACAATTAAAGTGTTTTATACAGTAAGGAATGCACTTTGATATATCTTTAGAGAAATATGACCCTCTCCATCATTGATAGTTATTATGCAAGTATGTTCAAGCTTCTCTTAAAAAGGTTGTACAATGAATTATGTAAGTAATCATTGCAACAGGAATGCATTGGATACTACTGGTACAGGCTTGCTCAACTTCAAAGATACACTGTAGATCAAAACGTTGCTAAAATTACTATTCTAACTTATTACTAGGGAACCCCTTTAACCAATCTCTCTCTTTCTCACAGTGTGGCTTGTGAGGAGGTTCTCTTTATTTCAAAACCAAAGGATTCACTCTCTGTTAGGCTGAACGAGTACATCATGTTGGAAGGTTTCTTAGTTTGAGTTTGACCAAAAACCTTTGACGTCAAATTAAGAGGAACTTGATACCGATCTGACTGACTTTCATCATAAATCTAACAACAATAAAAAACAATAAAGTACAATAATTATTGTTTTTGTTGTTAATTACCTTTACTCTAAGTCTGTAGTCAGTTTCATAAGTTACGTCTACTTTTAGACGCTTAGAATCACCTCCAAACATTGATGGGAAGGATTCCTTCCGTACTAGTGTTGCCATGACACCAAAAGGACCATCCTGAAGCTTCCCATCTAACCTGTAACCATGGTTACTTGAATAGGAACATCGTATGGTTGCATTTGGTTGCCAACAGCAACCACGAGAGTGACATACCTCCTCTGATTTGTCGTAACTCCACCCATCACCTTCGGGGAGACAGGAAAAGAGAGAGTTGCTGTCATGGTTACAAGATGGAACAAGTAGACAAGATGTTGTGTTTTTATACCAACAGCAACCAAAAGTTGTACAATCCCCTTCTCGAGTGTAAGGACAGGGGAGTGAGCCATTGGGCGGGTCAATGGGACAGCCATTGGAGGGAGGAGGAGTAGGAGAGGGTGTATTACCACCTGCTTTATTAGAAGAGGGGGAGAGAGTAAAAACGAGAGCCACTGCCAGTCCTATCACAATTAGAATTAGCAGACACAAAGATGCTACAAGCAAGCATCTTTGATATGGTCTGAGACAGCATGTAGCTGTATCTTTCCTGGTCTGTATGCTGTGATTCTCTTCAAGGACTTGATAACGCCCTTTCTTTCCTGCAGACATAATCGATGAGTCCAGCAAAAAAAACAGCTTGGATGAGCTAATTATGCGCACGTGCGGTTTTGTTTGTATAAAAGGAGCTGCTTCTGGAGTAGGAGAAGCACAGCAAAGCTTTTAGAGTGACAGTGTAAATACAAAAGATCACTTTATCTAAGAGACTCATAGATATTCCGGAATGAAGCTATTCACAGCCATTCTTATCACTGGAGCAAGCTACTTCTTCCTTCTTCAGCTCGTGGGTCCGGCCCGTGGCCTACCACTAAGTCATAAAAGAGGCTCCAGACAAACTCCAAACTTTCCAAACTCAGTCCCTGTCGTTAAAGAAGAAGACAGGCCCAAGAACAGTTGCAAAGTGGCCATAGTAAGAGAAGAGTTCATTAATCAGCCTGATGGAAACATTGAGCCAGTGAGGCAACGAACTTTCAAGTGCTGTGAAGGATACGGTGGAGTAGAATGCGACAGGATCACCGATCCTTACCTTGCTGCAAGCCCCTGCAGTCCAGCTAGCTGTCCAAACTTCCCAGATGCCACTTGTGCAGTGGTGTCTCGCTGTGGCAAAGATGAAGCTATATTTCTAAGTGATACTGGAGACATATTGGATTGTGGCACCCCAAATGTGACCACATTCAATATCACTAGCCTCTCCTGCACTGGAGTCTGTCCTAATGATCCCTGTGCTGGTATAACTTGTACTGAGCATCCGAATGCAATGTGTCTAACTGTTGGGTGCTCATGCGAACCAGTCTGGATATTGGACTCAGGAGTGAGTGTCAACTGTACCACAGGGCAGGCAGTCGATCCTCAAGAAATAAAGAGAAGAAGACGGAGGGAGATTAGCGAAGAGACTCCATCTATAACATTACCCTCCTGTGAAAGCTAAACCAACGGCAATGCAACTTATTAGAATTTAACTTATTATTATTATTATTATTATTCAGGTGACCTTCATTTCTACCCTCCCCCCTCTCTCTCTCCTTCATCATATACTTTTGATTCAATATATCTCACTTGATTTGTAACATATTTAACTATAATTATAATTATATTATTATTGACATAATTTTTTTCAACCAAGTTTCACACTCATTTATAACTAAATAACTGTCAATCAGCCAGCCCAATATTAACCCTCAGCTTTGTAACCACTGATGCTGTAGAGCTTGCTATAGGTTTCTTTAGTCTTGTGGTATAGAGGTATAAAAACTGTATTGTCTATTTTAATCTTTTGTTGTCTGTTTTTCCCAGTCTTCCTATTAACCTGTACATCATATCATATTTAACTTCCTATATATAGCATATGCTACTCTACATGATTCCCTCTATTCATCTTGCCTATGTCCCTTCTCAAAAGATGTACAATTTACACCTAGTTCTCTTTGATAGCCTACTGTACTGTGACACTGATGGCCTGTAGGCTTTAATAAAGCTCATTCAATGAATTCTTTACATTTAGTGCCTCCTCCATGTTTAACAAGAGGTATGCCTCACTCCAGACATTATTGGCTTGCCGATTTAGGTAGTCTTGTATTAGCATTCTGGGATACTGAGACTAACGTTAGACATTCCATTGGTTTTTTCTTAAAATGGTGACATTGAGAGACAGCGAGTGGGGGGTTTATTTCATACATAAATTAATGTATTTAGGTGATCCTTTTATTGTAACTTCCTCTCATTATAGGAGCCTACATGTACATACAAGCAGTGCCTGGTATGCTATTCACCTCTCATATAAAGGAGTAATTCTACACAGCCCATTCCTCATATAGTGTGTTTGTTGATGCTTGCTAATTCATTCTCTTATGTAATAAATTATATTCATAATTGGGCCCTATATAAAGTGCACTAGAGCACATTATTAATTAATTTATAATTTGTGTACATGTAAAGTGTGTGTTTGTATATATAAATGTGCCAGTTGTATGGTTCTATCATTATTTCATAACATTATACTTCATTATCATTATTATCATTATTATTATTATTATTATTATTATTATTATTGTGTTTGTGACTTTAGCTGTAATTTCATGAATTAGGCTATAATATATCATTCAATACTGTAGGTATCACAGTTCAGCACATGACACTACTGGTTCTTCCTGCTGACAGATACATATACTACCTTGTTATAAATCAATATATCCAACAGCAATAGAGCTGGTTCATATAGCTCAGGTAAGCAAGCAGACTCCACTCAGTCAGGAGCCTGGTCAGCTAGGCTACATGCTTTAAGTGTCAGCACCTAGTGTAGGAATTGAGAATAGACTTTTATTTATGGATTTACAATACCTGATTGAGAGGGTGTGTCTCATTATAAAGGTTAGAATGGTTACATTCCCCTAAGAGGATGGGGTCATATCAACAATAACATGTGTATGTATCTTAAGGTGTAACAATTAGAACAAGCCTACACCTGCCTTTGGTAATTTGCATGGGTCTGCAAATCAGCCTGAGAAAAAACTAATTAATTAACAGAAAACAATAAACATCCTTGTTGTTATTATCATTGCTGAATTTGGCATTAATTTAATTTTATTTTATTTTATTTTATTAAAGATATATGAATTCAGCTAAGCCATCAAGTGACTCGGTTAAAGTGCCCTCCAGCTGTGAAGAACTTTTAAAAGAGGCGGGTCGTCTTGTTAGAAGTTCAACAAGTCCTCATTCTCCACTTTGGTTGGACGGATTGGATTATCCAGCACAATATGTGGTCAGACAAACTCGTAGCATGACCTCTCGTTTTGAAACTCCTCCTCTTTCTCCTCCCCCTCATTCACTCGTTGTATCAATACCTCGTCACTTGGTTGGGCTTTGCTCAGTCTCTCGGCCACTACAGCTGCCAAATAATATTGAAAGGATCGACTTTTATTTACCTGATGACCGATTTCTTGAACTAAAACTTCAAAAGTTGCAGGAGATTCAGAAAGAAAATGAAAAAGAAGAAAAATTGAAAAAGAGAATTGACCATCAAAACATCCAAGTAAAGCTGAGTGTAGCCTCTATATAATGGACACTTTGAAAGTGTCTCTGTTATACAGAGGTGTCCTTTATGTGGAGGTTATTTTATACAGTAAGGAATGTAATTGGTACACTAGGTGCTGTCTGTTAAATGGAGGTGTACGCTATAGAGAGTGTCCATTAAGAGAGGCTGTACTGATTGTTTTTGAGTTTGTGTGTGTGTATGTGCATATTTCATTGCATTATTTCTTAGCGTCTTCATGTTTATGGTATGGCATATTGTTTAACATTCCTCTTCAATTAGTCTTCATTAACTAACACTGACGACACTTTGAGGGATAGCGGCTGTGTTTATCCTCCTTCGTCCGCCCACAAAGGTAATTAAAATTCACCAGTTTCTATGCAAAAACAATTTAATTGAATCCATAAATGTACAGTATAGTCTCTCTTAATGGACACTCTCTATAGCGTACACCTCCATTTAACGGACAGCACCTAGTGTACCAATTACATTCCTTACTGTATAAAATAACCTCCACATAAAGGACACCTCTGTATAACAGAGACACTTTCTTGACCCAAAGTGTCCATTATGCAGAGGCTTCACTGTACATTTACATCAAATTAATTGATTCAATTACAGCTCCACCGTGTACTTTTACTAAATTAAATGAAACGGAAGCAGAAGAGGCTCGGTCTCTCATTTCTATTGGCTCCATATCATTACCAAAAGTTGGTGCAATCATGTATTAAGGACTACTCACTTAATTGAATTGTTATTTTACTAAATATTCCCAGTAATCCTCCTAAATATTAACATGCAGGAAACAGCCTCAGGTATAATGACTATTATATTGCCCCACGTACATACAACAGGTTAATGATCATACCATTGCTGTATTGTAGCTTTATATTGACCAGTAATACTTGATATTGACCAGTAATACTTGATATTGACCAGTAATACTTGATATTGACCAGTAATACATGATGTGCCTCTGCTTGCTCTAAGCAAGACTTGTCCTGGTATGTGGATACTGTAATCTATAGCTTTGTTTGTAACCTAATGTAGAGATACTGTTACTTGTTTGTCCATGATTTGGAACTGATACATTAAAATTATGTAATATTTAGTTTACACTCTCTGGAGTATTGAGTTTCTTTGTTATGCATCTGCTTAATGTTGTTGTCATTGGTCATTAGGGATCATTAATAATTCATAATAGTTTAATGCACATCATGCATATAGACCCTATGGGTCACTGTTCTTCTATAAAAATTGTTTAATAATTCATTTATTATTATTATTATTATTTATTATTTGTTATCGCTCTGTGTGTGTGTTTGTGTGTGAATTCCATCTTAATTTGGGTGTGTCCACACTTGTTTATACCATGGGAGACTGTCCCTCTACTCCTACTAATATGGACTATAACAAGTCTCAGTTAAACACTTACAATCCAAATCTCACACACAGACCAATAACACCTTCTTATGGACGGCAAATGAAATTGGATCACGACTTCTGATAGTGACGGATAAGTCAATGGACCTCATTGGATTGTCCAATGAGAAGAAGAGGAGGAGTATGAACCTGGAGGAGGAGGAGGAGGAGGAGGAGAGAAGTAGTAACTTATGGAGGATTCTAGACTCTGTCCCTTTGCCTGCTGGACTGACTGAGAATGTACAGCAAGAGAGAGAGAGAGATGTGGTTGAGATGCTCTTCTTGTCCTGTAGGTTCATTGTTTAGAATTACACAGTTTGGATTCTGTTGATGATACACTCCTGACCATATTAGGAACTGATGAGTGCTCAATGAGGTAACTTTATCATTACTTATCGTTAGTTGTTATCTTTAGTTATATACTATGTCTCATTTTAGGATATTTAGAAGCCAGAGTGTCTCCTATGACCTCAAGTTATTTCAAAAAAACCAGCTTAGAGAGTGAGGAATTAGTTTATCACATTTTAACTGCATCTCTCTTCCATCATTTCCTCCTTCCCCTTTCTCCCTCCAGTCTCAGTGCAGTGGCCGTGTGTTCAGATCAAGACAAGGTTACCATAGCAACAGGATGGGCGTGTCCCTCCCCAGCACTTCGCCTGTCAGTAGTGACCATCAGCAATGAAAGGTATAACCACAACAGATATAATTAATCATTAGGTATCAGCATAACCAAGGTGTATTTTAATTTATTGAATAATGAGAGACTCTCAATACCAGACTAACTAAACCCTTTAGGTCAGGGCCCACTGTAGTGAGTGAGAAGGAACTCCCTTTGGATGATCCTGGAGGAGGAGGAGGAGCTCACAGAATAACATCAGCTTGTTTTGTGAATAAAAAATATCTCATTGCTGCTACTGATAAGATATTGATTTGGTAAAGAGAGAGAGAGAGAGGAGGCATGAATTGGGAAAGATATTAGCTCAAACTGATGCGTGTGTGTATATAAATCAAGATACCATATCATAACATACACACACACACATCACTCCATGCAGGGATAATGAATCAGCATTATTACTCAAGAAAGTAGAGCTTCACTGTGCTGCTAGTTTTAATCAAATGATGTCCTTATCAACATACACTGGAATGATACTCAAAGGATTCTTGGAATGTCTTCATCAGAAGGTACACATTGAAATTACATACCTCTCAATATAATACACTCCTTGATTCATGTGACATGGAGAGAGAGTACATGTATTGTACATAATGTAATGATAGCCGTACTTCAATTAACAAACGTCACTTCTAAAAATAACCAGCAGCCATTATCATGATACCTCTCTTCCTCCTTTCTCCTCTTACATCAACACATCTTTTCAGTATACACCTGGTTATTTTGGAGGTAAAATTTTAGGCAACTTGATTAGTGTTATTATTTTGAAAAACTATTCTTTATTATAAATATTATCCTATTTTCATTATTTGTAGTTATTTCTTGTTGTTTGCTCTAATCCACCTACTCCTCCATTAGTCAGCAGCTGCTGCTGGTTGCTAATGGTAACCATGACTACTGAATCTTCTATAGACTTGGTGTGTGGGTGTGATGGCTCCATAGACAAAGCAATGATAGTCCGTGCCTACTTGTTGCCAAGGGCCTCTAGTGACATCAACTACAGGAGGTTAGTGGCAAACATGAGTTACATAATGGATGAACAGTGTAGCCACTTTTAAGTGTTATACAGAGGAGGAGGTGTCCTTTACATGTACATGGAAACGGAGGTCATTTGTATTGTTTAAACATGTCATGTGTTTGGCTATTGGCTATCCATTAATTATATTATTCCATTACACTCCAGGTGTGGAGTTAGGGCTGGTAGTGTGAGTGTATCAGGTAACTTGTTGACAGCTGGTCTTTCAAACGGAGTGATAGTTCTATGGGAACTGAGACAAGAGCTACCGATTGGATATTTTGAATTCTTTAAAGGTATTAATGTCACTTTCCTTCAAATTATTAAAATTGAATTGTCTTCTAATTCTCTCTTTTGCAAGATGGAGAAGGTTCATCTTTCCAGCACTTATTCCTACCACAAATCAACACTTTATTAATTCACAATAATTCTGTCATCTATTTATATAAATATTCATCATTATCCTAACAACTAGTCAATGGTGTAATGAGAGGGAAGCAGTTAGACCATATTATTGACTGATATCAGTAATCTTATTAAAAGAGATACACACATACACTGGACTGTAATTGAACAAGAGAGAGAGAGAGAGAAATAAGTTCATCAGCCAGAACAACCTCTGCAGCCGCAATGAATACATTCAGTGATCTTATCCTAAAAACAACAACAATAATAATAATAATAATAATAATAATAATAATAATAACAATAATAATAATAATAATAAATACACTTACTGTTTCTAGTTTGCTCTTTGGTACTCTGCAGATGCAAGCAGTTCCAAAGTTAGTGTCCCTGGGTTGGATGCACCTTAAGCAGCAGAGGTTCTCGTAACCGGACTAACAGAGAGAGAGAGAGAGAGAGAATGATAAACAAAACTAATATGGTCATAATTATTGGTCCTGTTTGTTTAGCGACAAAACATGTCCTGCTTTAAATTGAAACCTTACTAATCTCGTTAAAAAGGTTAATAATTCCTTAATATTAATTAATCAAAATAAACCCAAACACAATTAACATGACGTGCAACTTTTGATGTACCAAATAACAAACAGGAGCGTCAACAAATAGTGATTTGTGTACACATAACTAGTACACTGAACCATTCGTTACCATAAAAGAAGCATGTACTGGACTAGCCTTGCTATAATGGACACTGTGTCTCTGTTATACAGAGGTGTCCTTTTTGTGGAGATTATTTTATACAGTAAGGAATGTAATTGGTACACTAGGTGCTGTCTGTTAAATGGCCAATTACCAAAAATTTAACAATTTGCCAAAATTTTATCACTCTGAAATTAGCACCAGATATAGGGTACCTGTTTGTTGCTGGAATGGCATGTAGTTGTTTTTGGTGAATATTATAATGAAAGGATTCTTATTATCATAATCAGTATAAACACTCCTTATAAAGGAGGTACACAGCCACTCCCTATTGCTTTTGGCAGTCTTCCCTCCTGCAGCAGCTGTAGCCAATAATGGACCCACCTTTTTCCACTTGGCGATAAGCGCTGCGTCTGCAATATTCTCATCCAAACAAAACTGGTACAACTCTAATTGGAAAAATAAAATAAATTATTGTACTGGGTATTACCTAATACATGTACTTATACTGTGTAGAAAGTTTGAGCTGATTCCGATTGACAATAGATTTTTTATGAATTTTTAAAGTTACTCAAAAATTGGGCCAAAGTCCCTGTACAGGGATTTTGGCCAAATTTCACCAAAAATGAAAAGTAGAGAATTCTCAATTTTTATTACATTTCCTGATGCATATACATATACTTATGTTGCGTAGAAGTTTGAGCTGATTCCGATCAAGATTGGATTTTTTTACAAATTTTTAAAGTTGCTCCAAAATCGGGCCAAAGTCCCTGTACTATAGTACAGGGACTTTGGCCAAATTTTGCCAAAAATGAAAAGTAGAGAATTCTTTATTTTTATGATATTTTCTGATGCATATACATGTACTTATGTTGTGTAGAAATTTTGAGCTGATTCCGATCAAGATTGGATTTTTTACAAATTTTTAAAGTTGCTCCAAAATCGGGCCAAAGTCCCTGTACTATAGTACAGGGACTTTGGCCAAATTTTGCCAAAAATGAAAAGTAGATAATTTTTCATTTTCATGATATTTTCTAATGCATATACATGTACTTATGTTGTGTAGAAAGTTTCAGTTTATTCCGATCAAGATTTGATTTTTTACAAATTTTTAAAGTTGCTCCAAAATCGGGCCAAAGTCCCTGTACAGGGATTTTGGCTAAAGAGAATTCTCTATTTCTACATGCAGGCACTTAACCTCTGCTGATGGCCTTTCTCTTGTAAAATAATTCATAAATGTAACGAGACTTTTGATGATGAATCCTAAAGTTAAGGAACACTAAATTAAACTGATTCCCAAAGTATACTAATAATATCCTGAGCCACACCCCCTTAACACATCCCACTTTATGAACTTACTTAAATATTGGCCAGAGAGCTTCCGATTTTCTCTTTCCTTCATGAGTCTCAATTTCAGCTAATAATAAACAAACAAATAAATAGATAAACAATTAAATAAATACCTTCTCTTAGTTTTTGGTCGAGTTCATCCAGTGTTGGTTCTATGACTTCCCATCCTTCAGGAGGTTTCTTCCTGCTCCTCCTCACCTTAGGCATACTCCCTGTATATGGTGTCACTAGAAAATAACAAAAAAATAATATGAAATACGTGGACAAAACGTACATGTAAAAAACCAGAAATGTATTGATGATGGGCGTGGCTATACTAATTGAAACGGGTGTGGTTTAGACTCACGTGATCCTTTCTCTTTCTTTCCCTCCACCACGTGCTCTGAACCGAAGAGGCCATTATGCCAGGGAGACTAGTCTATTCAAAGACGTATGTCACTCCTCGTAGACCATTCGAGAAGTCTCGTTTAGACCAGGAGCTAAAGCTTGTTGGTCAGTACGGGCTGAGGAACAAGAAGGAAGTGTGGCGGGTCAAGTATACTCTAGCTAAGATAAGGTCTGCTGCTCGTGAGCTCCTCACATTGGAAGAGAAGCACCCAAGACGACTTTTTGAGGGTAATGCTTTATTGCGTCGACTGGTTCGTATCGGTGTACTGGACGAGTCAAAGATGAAGCTTGATTTTGTATTGGGTCTTAAGGTAGGTTTTGTACGGGGGGGGGGAGGGGATCCATTAATTTGGTATTTTATGCCATTTACCAATATTATGGGTGTGTTTTATGTGGGCGTGGTTTATTACAATTAATATATTTTAATGTGAACACCAGGTTGAGGATTTCTTAGAGCGACGCCTTCAGACCCAGGTATTCAAACTAGGGCTTGCCAAGAGTATCCATCACGCTCGTGTTCAGATCCGTCAAAGACACATCAGGTCAGACTAGTGGTCTTGAAAGATATTAATACATTCATACATCATTCCCTCATATAGAGTTAGGAAACAGATTGTTAATGTTCCTAGTTTCATAGTTCGACTGGATTCACAGAAACACATTGACTTTGCTCTAACCTCTCCGTTTGGTGGGGGTCGTCCTGGACGAGTGAAGAGGAAGAATATGAAGAAGGCAGCAGGAGGGGGCGGGGCTGATGATGATGAAGATGACGAAGATTAAGTAAGAGAGTGGCTTATTTCATTTATTTTTAATTTCATTCTTTCTGTAGGCATCATTGTATTGTAATTATGAATGGACAATAGATTTCCATTTTCTGATAATAATTGTTATAAAGAGATTTTCCAATTTTGAAAATTATGAAAGTTTCAAACGTGTTAGTCTGTGACTGTGAAATCTTAAACAATCAGTTTTAATGGACTTGAGCGAAATAGATACAATAAATATTTCATAACTAATGGAGGGTGATGATTATAACATGATGAGTTCATTTGACTCCAATGTTGGGTTGTGCACTAGTTAAACCCATTTGCATAGCACGAAATGATTTGGGACACTAAAAATAACAACAACAATAATAATAAATTAATGAAATGATAATGGACTCACTGTATTTGCATAGTGTCCTTTGTCTCCGCACTAAAGAAAAAGAAACCAGTTCCCAAAGGGTTAAAGATATTGATTGTGATACCTTGAAACATGTAACTTCATGTATCGGCCGTCTCTTCCCTTGAGTGCTTGGTTTCGTCTCTGTCGTTGCCGTGGTGATCGTCGTGACAACAGGAGGGGCTTCCGTTGCATTAGCACTACTGGTTGCCATGGTAACAATAGAGTTCTGCATAGCAGCGGTTGCTAGGTTACCAAACTAAAGTCGATAATAATTTGACAGTCACAAAGTGGGCATGTCTTACTATAGCTGAAGAATGGAATATTGGAAATGTTTTAGTTCCTGGCAGTTCGTATCGCGGGCTACAACAAAATAAATTAATAATAATTAATAACCTCATGAATCTCTCTTTACTGCACATGCTTGCAGCTGATACCCTCAGGACAAAAACCAAACAAATACTTTTGACACATGACACGCCTAGTGTGTCTGTTCCTACAGGAGGGACCTGGAGCAAGAGGAGGAGGAGGAGATGGTTAACTAATTGATCATTATTAACTTGCCATGTTTGCAGAATCCTCTATCGTACCAGGGGCAGTCCTTAACCTTGAGTGTGTCAGCATCAACATGCATGAACTGACAATCTTTATTGTTGCACTCACCTAATGGAATATTCAATAAATGGGGGACTTAAGGAGACCAAAAGCTAGAGATTTCATTTCAGGAGGCATAGACAGACCAAAAGTCTCCTAAACTCCCTCTAGATCTAACTGCAGTGTTAGTCAATACATTTACAAACTTTAAGTTGCCAAATGATTCATCTCATTATTAGCTGCTGTTACATAACTATGACTTAGGTGTTTAACATATCCCAGATACATACAGGGCAATAATTGGAGTGTTGTATAATGGACACAGCTGCTGACAGGCTAATCAATGGTATAATTAGGTTACTCGGTTGCTATGGGCTATCTGTTGCTAGGGCGCCAGCTGAAAATTTTAGTTTATTTGATTTTAATTTGATAATAAGACACTGTTACTCATCAAGTCCGTTAACAGTACGTGAGGTTTGAGTGTACTAGGGATACCAGTGAATAAACACCTGCTGCTAGTATGATGAGAAATTACACTTTAATTAACAAATACACTATTGGTCACACCGTAAGGACCATACCACAGCTGGTAATTTAAAAAATTGCATTACTTCACCTCCTTCTGATGCATGATAAAAGAATATAACATAGCAAGACAAGAATGAACAAATTTCTCATTTAATTCAGGTAGAATCTTCATTAATGACATAGACTTACCAAATTTCTGAAAGAAGTAGCAAACTGGCATCCGTCCCATGTCATACTCATGAAGGAACTCACACTCGTCTCCTTTATTGCAGAGCTGTCTCAACCAGTGCTTGCACACAATGACCCTGTCCCCTTTAATGTGGCGATAAGGACAGTTGAAACCTCTTGAGCAAGTTCCTTGTAGGAAGAACTCACACAATGGGGCCTTGTTCTCTGGAGAGAAAAGATCCACCATGTAAGAGTACATATGATATCAATATTATTATTATTGTTAATTTTGTTAAAATTCTTAGGTGAATGACTTCATAGTGGTGGAGTATGTTAACCAGCCCAACCCTTATCCCATGATATTAAGTATGTAGCCACGCCCCTTTCATAGTATTAATTAATTGACTTACTGTCCATTCCAGGGAAAGGTAGTGGTATGGCCCCGACTTGTTCAGCTAGGAGCTGCTCAATCTCAAATTCATAATCATCAACATTGGATATGTACTCTTGTAACATGGTGGCTAAGAACACTTAGATTATAATGAATAGTTAATTATTATATGACCACACCCACACCACGCCTACAAATAAAATGCCGAAAGGTTGGTATGCTAACTCGTGTCGTGTTGAGTGTTTCTTTTCTTTTCTTTATTTGCAGGAAAACCAAAAGGAGGTCACAAAGGTCGAATGAGACGCTTTGTGACTGAAGAAGAAATGGTTGACCAGGAGGAGAAGAGAAAAAGGGAACAAGAATGGAAGGTATGGCATATCTATGATCTATGGTGGGTACTAATCACACTGACTTGAAGCATCTATCATTCTATTATTTTGAACGTTTCTCATTTGCAGAAGAAGAAAGGATTAGCGCCAAACAGGGTCGATGAAGATGAAGATGATGTAAGACAAGAAGATGAAAAAGAGTCGGAAAAAGATGATGACATTTCATTTGGTCGTGGGGCATCAGGTGGACATGGTCTGGAGGAGGAGGAGGAGGAGTCAAGTGAAGAGGAGGAGGAGTCCAGTGATGATGAATATGTGAGTTTGTCATTTCAATGGCTTCTTGTGATTGGGTTTTTAGATTCCAAAATCCAAAGGTGTTGAAGGTCTTATAGAGATTGAGAACCCAAACCGAGTCCAGCAGAAAGGAAAGAAAGTTCAAAGTCTTGATGTCAATGCTAAGGTTGAGCTATCAAGAAAAGAAAGGTATGGGCTAGTGATGGGTGAGTGTTTTTGAGATTTTGTTTTGATGAAGAGAGGAGATAGAGAAGCAAAGAGCTGCAGCTAGTTATCGCAAGAAGCATGAGGCTGGGATGACTGAGGAGGCTCAGAGAGACTTAGCTCGATTAGCCCTGATTAGACAGCAGAGGGAGGAAGCAGCTAAGAAGAAAGAAGCAGCTAAGAAAAGTAAAGATAGCAAATGTTGCATGTTCTGCTATCTTGTTTATGATTTGTAGTGGAAGCAAGCAAGAAATGAACACCCACACACATTCTATTATTCATTGAATTATTAATAATGAAGCTATCAACGTGGGAGCACGTGTGTTGGAGAATGCGCAGAACTTTTGGCGGGTAAACAGAGGTTTGGGCGGGAAAGACTTTAAAATGGCGTCTGCAAGCCCACTGAAATTGACTATAGAGGAACAGGTTCCTTTCACTCCTCCTAGAAGCCTAACCAGGTCACTTCCCGTCCCTCCCAGCAGTGGAGAGTTGAACAGGAGCAGTTCTATAGACAGCAGGTCATTCTCAAGCACTCCAGGAGAAGAAGAGGTTGAGAATGGACAAGAAAATATTCAAATGAACAATACCTCGATTAATATGGGCCTAGGGGGAACAAAGAAGGTTATTGGAGTCTTTTAGGATTCTAATTATTTAATTAATTAGGGGAGAAGAAAGGGGTGTGGCCACTGTCAAGGTTGTCTAGCCCAAGATTGCGGTAAATGTAAAATGTGTAGAGACAAGGTAAAGTTTGGAGGTCCAGGGGTCAAGAAACAGAGGTGTTTATTCAGAAAATGTCGTCACTTGGTATGTAAATGTACATCTAATTCGTAATAGCCTGAACTTTTGTAATGAAAATTGCAAATGAACATTTATGCATATTAAATTAATAATGTGATATTAATTTTAGATGAAGGCTCCGTCCTTCAGTTTGTCTCCAGCTGCTGCTAACAGGAAAAGGGAGAGAGCTGATGATCCAGCCACTGACTCACTGTCCCCCATCACGTCAGCAAGAAAGAGAAGATGTACAGTTCAGTATCGTCTGGCATCATCATCTTCTGAATCCTCTGATTCATGTATTATAATTAACACTGATCAACTCACTAACGCTAATGACACACCCACCAATACAGGCAGTGAGCCCCGCCCACTAGCTAATAAAGTATTCAATCCTCCAACTGGTGTCGGTAAGAATTGGCTGAGTCCTTGTAAAAGGTCTCCAATAAAAGCTGGAGCTAGTCCGAGGAAGAAAAACTCATTGTTTGGTAAACAACAACAACAACAACCACCTTTAACAAGCAAACAGACTCTAGGCATTGACTCTGCTCCATTTAACAACCTCCTTCACGTCAGACATGGGACAGACACACCAGGATCATATCATCATTATTCCATACTGGATAGACTCAGACTCATTCCTGATAAGAAACTCATTCCCATTCCATCAACGAACAGTTTGAGTCTCGGATCCATCACAGAAGCAGCATGTGTACCACAAGAAAAGGAAAAATCTGAAAATATTGTTCACAATGATGAAGGGGCTCCATTATCAGCAGAGGGTCTGGAATTATTCAAAAGATACCAGACCCTTACCAAGGCTTTGACTAGTGGCCCTTCTGATTGTCAAGGTGACTGTCTCCATGACAACCACGTGTCCCCGCTTAACGTGAGTATATACATATTGAACCAGAGGAAGAGAGGGAGGGGAAGGAAGAGGAAGAATGAGGTTCAAGTAGATTCCTCTCAATACAGCATGACTAAGAGATACTCTAAAAGACTTAGAGCAAAAGGTGATGATAAAGAAGCCAGTCCTAATGACACCCCTCCTCCTCCTCCTCCTAACCCACCAGGAGGAGGAGAAGAAGAGAGAGTATCCAACAGACTAGGCCATGAGCTTTGGACTGATCATTATACACCTCATGCCTCAGGGGAGGTTGTGGGTGACAAGAGAAGTGTCTCTGTATTATTGAACTGGTTAAAGCAATGGAAGGAGGTGTGTCTTGGTAAATGTGTCTCTCTGAATGACTCCATTTCCTCTTCTGTTCTAAGTGAAGAAGAACCCTTTCCTTCTCTACCGCCAGCCATGATTATATCTGGTCCTACTGGGGCTGGAAAGACAGCGTGTGTGTATGCGTGTGCGGCAGAGCTTGGCTACAGAGTCCTTGAGATTAACACGACTCATGCAAGAAACCGTCAGGGTATCATATCACTCCTGCGTGAAGCCACTCTCTCCCATCAAGTGGCATTAAAAGGAAAGACTACTGATATGAGAGAGCCACACCTACCTGCCCCGCCCCCTCCTAATAAGAAAGGAATATTATCATTCTTTACTCCAAAGGCTCCAGCAGTCCAATCAAAGTCCCTCAAGGAAGAACTATTCCCCAGACTAGAAGAGAGGGTCCTGACATTAGAGACAGCCTCTCTTGTCCTCATAGAGGAAGTTGATGTGTTGTTTGAAGATGAAGTGAGAGGTTTCTGGTTGGGACTTTACGATATATTGACCACTTCTAAAAGACCAATCATATTAACAACTAATGGTAAATTAATAACTATTGATCAACTACTGGTTAATTAACTATTAGTTAATTGACTAGTTTTAAATAATTTTAATATTGGTTTTAGGCATAATTTAAAATGTTTTTAGCTTAAAGTGTTTTTCATATTTACTTTTTTAGAAATCGGTTTAAAATTGGACACTCCTTATCAAAGCATTAACATGGCCACTCCCTCAAAAGTGATTATTAATTAGTTTATTATAATTAATTTATTTTTAGGATGAAGTTTCTCTTCATGTTCAGTTGCTTTCAATGTCACATGACTATCACATGACCACTGAAGTGGCCAATCAGATTACAGAATCACTCGGCTGTGATATTCGTAAAATCTTTAGTACATTGCACTTCTGGCTGGCCGGCCATACCCTCTCAGACCAACCAGTGAAACTAGTACGTATATGATCGGATCCATTTTTATTACATTTTCTGATACATATTGATGTACTTATGCTGTGTAGAAAGTTTGAGCTGATTCCGACTTCAATTTTTCAAATTACGGCCATTTTAAGAAAATGCCAAAATTCTGAAAAGTACCCAAGGCTATAGCCCATGGTTTTTTCCAAAAAATGGCTCCGAAATCACCCCCAATTTTTATTACATTTTCTGATACATATTGATGTACTTATGCTGTGTAGAAAGTTTGAGCTGATTCCGACTTCAATTTTTCAAGTTATGGCCATTACGTTAAAGTATCTTTCCAATAGGATGATGTCATTGAGAAGAAACCTCAAGATCCAATCACTTCAATGACACTGGGCAGTCCTTCGATCAGTAAATCCTCCTCAATATATCAGGAATTAGATGAAGCTGTCCTTTATACTGATGCTTTGTTAGCTGCTGATATATGCAATGGAAGAGTTACTGATACCTCTAGCAACTGTAGAACAAAGGATAGCCTCAGTGAGGAATTGTCAGAGATTGATACTACCTTGAACATGGAAGAATGGGAATCAGTCTTATTAAGCAGTATGGGAATGAGGACAGGTTTTAGAGGAACTCTATTAGGAACAAATAAGTATAAGTTAAAGATTATTATTATTATTATTGGTCATTAATTAGGAATAACGCTGAGATGGAATCGTTAAGAAGGAAAGTATCTCTTGATGTTTTTCATGTTAGAACTGTCCTCTCTAGACAGTCCTTGGCAACAGACTGTCTGCCATTTCTTAAATTAATCTGTAAATATGAGAATGACAGGAAACTAGCTAAAACTAGTAGAAGGTAGGAGGACTACATTATTAATTATTATCAGTGTGGTGTCACTAATTATTTCTATTTTAGATTTAGTCATTATCTTATGCAGAATAGTTTGGATCACTTAGAACAGTTTTTATACTCAAACACTTTCATTTATGAATGAGTCATAACTCTCTTTGTTATACAGTACATTGCAGTTGAGTTGAAATATTATCATCATGATTATTATTGATATAATAATTATTATTATTATGTTAACAGTTAAGGCAGTGGTGCCAGGTCTGGTTCTACCCACCTAGAGAGAGGGGGAGAGGAGATTGTGACACAGTTTGAATTAAAGATCAAGATGTGTTTCACTGTACCTTTCTTTAGCATTTTTAGAATTTATCAGTTCTTGTGAATAATATTTAAAAAGCAATCTTGAATCTTTAAGATAAGGATTGGCTTCTAAAAACTCTTGGAAACTCTCACCACAGTCCTGTATATATAGACACATCATTGATGCAATGATGTTGTATGGTACCTTCTCTAGTCCTTTACATATCATGTGAATGAAGAAATTAGTAATAGTCTCATGATATCCTCTTTTGATCTACAGTCACATGACACTAGATCACATGACCAGTGTGTGTGTGTGTGTGTGTGTGTACCTTGTCACTGTTCTTATCGTTGAATCGTTTTATTCCGTCTCTAAAGGACAATACTAGAACACTCTCTGTATTCAATGACATTTACTTGATTAAAGGAACTGCTTTATCAGGACCATGTTGTTTGATGTAGTTCCAGGCCATTCTTAAATGAGCCTGTACAAGAATTATAACAATGAATAAACTCTCTCTCTTACTTCGTGGCTCCAGTCTTCGTATGCCAGTGTAACACTTTCAAATGATTCCATGAAACTGGCATCACCCACAGAATGATATGATCTATTGATGGAGACTCACTCTCTTAATGATGAGGGGCTATCCAGTTCCTACCTTGCATAATACAGTAGAGGTGACACGTGTGTATCCACATAACTGATCCTCTCTACTGCCCCATACCAGACACGATGGTCCCCTATATCATGAACACTGTGTCCATTGCACTCCAGGACTGCACTACAGTTATGCAGTAAAGGGTGACCCTAGTACAGTTTTTAATGTTTTCATCATCATTATTATTATTATCTTGTCATTACATTTTTTGATATTGAGTGTGGAATGTTGTCAAACTGGTTGGGTTTCTCATCTTGAGTTTGTTTTGAAAAGTGAATACTGAGGTAAATCTAACAATACACAAGTTTAGCCACAGCCATATTTGTTCACATAGACTAACTTGTTTTTCTGATAGAACATTAACTGCAAATTGTTTAGTTTCTAACAATAGACCATGCATCCTACTAATGAAGAGCAATATATTAGTATCACCATAATGATGATGGACGGTTACCTTGGTTTACCAATACAGAATGATATAATAGGAGGATTGAGTGATACACTTGTAAATGAACTGCAGGTTATTCCTCTCTTTAAGACTCCATCACTGCTAGTTACAACAACAACTATAATGAGATGATAATAATAGTCTTTGAAAGCTACAGGTGTTATTTACCTGAAGAAGGCACTTTTCTCATAGCTTGTAAGAACCTGTTGTTCTCTTTACTATTTTGTAAAAATAATATATCAGTAATTAATAGTTGATACCTCCTTGACTGCTGCTTAATAGTCTTTTAAACCTCACTTTAAACTGAAGGAACCTAAAGGAAGACATTTTGAATATTAAAATTACTTCCAGTTAAAAAAGAGGGCGTTATCCTCATTTAATTAAAAGAGGGTGTTACGTTTTGCTTAACATGATTTCCCGGTCTTTTTCTTGGCTTGCTGAGCATTCTAAGCCTCTACTTTTATCAGGAAATAATGTGAGAGTTCTCTCTGCACCTGGGGAATACCTCCAATGGCTCAAGGTACATACTGTTGTTAATATTTTTACTTTTATTTTGTTTTTAGAGTCAACTAGTTTCTGTTAAATGGAGGATTCTTCTCTCTTCACTTTATCTGGGCACTGGCTACCTTGAGAAGGAGCTGGTAGATACAATAAATACCTTATTATTATTATTATACTCTCGTGTTAGGTTGGACTAATAGCTGATTCACTTCGGACCAATTCCTCACTCCAATGTAGCATTGTATTGGATAGTCTACGTGGCCATCGTGGTAACCCAAATTCTGTCAGCGTTCTGGGAAAATTGATTCAAGAATTCCCCCATCAGTTCTCACTGTACATGTACCACACGCCCTCTTTAAGAGGGTCGTTAAAGCGGGCATTACCCCAGAGGATTAACGAAGTGGTTGGATTGCAGCACACCAAGCTGCACGTCTTTGATAATAATGTCCTAATGACAGGGTAAGAGAGAGAGGGGGGATATTGCAGGTGGGGGCTGGTTTTAAACCACCTCACTCTTCCTCAATATAATTATTATATATTTTAAGCTGGTCATAACTTTATTTTTTAGAGCTAACCTGAGTCATGATTACTTCACAAACAGGCAAGATCGTTACATTAGTTTTGACTCCTCCCCTTCTCTGGCAAACTATTTGTCAAAAGTTCACGAGACTCTCTCTCAGCACTCCTTCCTCGTAAAACCCGACAGTAGCCTAGCTAACCCTCAGGCAATGAGAGGACTCAACCCTCTTCAATCAAAGAGGAATTCAAATATTTTTAAAAAATCATTTTATGAAGAAATGCAGACCATCATACAATCAAAGACTCATGCTGCTGAGACTCATTCCCATACTGCTAAGTCTCATTCTCATCATACCACTAAGACTCATGCTAATACTAATACTGAATCCTGTATCACTAGTGAGACTCGTTCCCATACTCCTAGTACTGATTATGAGAGTATTGGCATGGAATCAGAGGAATCAGACACAGTGGTGTATCCATTGGTTCAAATGGGAGAGTATGACATAAGACAAGATGAAGAGGTCACTGCTGGTTTGTTGTCTAATGTCAGTGCCAATGAAAGACTCTGTATTGCGTCAGGGTACTTTAATCTACCTCATGTACACAAGAGGTCACTGCTAGACAGTAAAGGCCATATTTCAATATTGGCCTCTTCGCCTCAGGTAAGATTATACTGACTCCAATCATTCCAGCCAGTTCTCTCTTCCAGTGTATGGGATTCTATGGAGCTCAAGGTCCAGCTGGATCAATACCACAGTTATACAGTAACCTAACGGCCCAGTTCCTCAGGGACTCTTGTCCCCATGGCTCCAGGATCAGGTACTACGAATACCATAGGCAGGAATGGACTTACCATGCTAAAGGTAGCAGCTGTTTATTTTTTACTATTGATGATACTATCTTTTGCAATTTTGTCAATATTTTTGTTTTTTTTTCTGATTAATAATAACTGGTAATTATTTATGATAATGCCGTTAGGTCTTTGGTACTACTTGCAAGGAATGAATCTGCCAAGTTTGACACTCATCGGCTCCAGTAACTATGGTAATAATAGTAATAATAATAATAATAATAATATTTTAAAAATTTTATTTATAGGCTATCGCTCGTTAAAGAGGGACCTGGAGTGCCAGGTTGCCATAGTAACGAGGAACAAGAGACTACAGCTGGCTCTTGATAAGGTAGTAATACCGACCGTTTTGTGTTTTTGTTAATTTTGAGGAAATTAAATCTCATGCTTTACACCTGCTGCACTGCATTAAGTACACATGCTCTGACTATTTCCTTGGTATTAATTTTCATGGTTAAATATCACCCACAAAGTCCACACAGTTAAATATCCTATGGAATTTTATTACGGTATCATTGCAACACTGCTGATGGTATATCTGATATGTAGGAAAGAGAGCAGCTGTACAATTATGGAACTCTATTGAGTCTAGAGGATATGAAAGCATCACGTGACCACAGACCCTCTCTATGGGTGAAAGGGATCACTCCATTACTCAAATATTATGTATAAATCAATTTTTATTATTAATACTCATGAATAATTAATGAGGCACGCCCATTCAAAGACCCATTCATTCAATTTCATTGGAGCGAAGAAAGGAATGGCGAGACAAGCAGGAATGAAGGGACTCCAGTTATGGTGTAAGCAGGTCACTGAAGGATACAGAGACGTACAGGTCACTAACATGACCACCTCTTTCAGAGACGGGCTCGCATTCTGTGCCATCATTCACGCCTTTAGACCTGACCTTATGTAAGGGACACGGTGACCTTGTATTGTCAGCTGAGAGACAGAGAGAGGCCGGGGGACATGGTACAATCATGTGTAGAGACGCCTGCTGAGCTAGTTTGAGAGAGGGGGAGAGTGTTTTGTCTGTATTTGGTTAGTATTAATGTATGTCTTTTTTTGGTCATTTCCAGACCTTTTGACAGTTTACAGAAAGGTGATGTAGCTCGAAACAATGAACTGGTTAGTACATGTATCCGTATAATAGAGAGTAGCACAGTCTGTCTGTCAGTTTACTGTCTGTTTGAGTCTTTGGATATCAGGTATTTGTCTCACCTTAGGCTTTCAGAGTTGCTGAAGAAGAGCTAGACATCCCAGCACTCCTGGACGTACAAGACATGGTGGACCTTCCTGTGCCTGATAAACTGAGCATAGCAACGTACCTCATTTCTTATTACAATCATTTCAAAGAAATGCAGCCTCAGAAGAGAATGAAAATGGCCGCAGAAGAAGAAGACAACAGTCCACAGTCAGTTCCTAAACTGACTTCAGCAGCAAATCGAGTGACAGCTCGTAAAGATGAACACGTGCTACGACCAACACAACAAGCTGTAGCTGCTGGCATCAAGAGACCTTCTTCACCGCCTAAAGTAACCAAACCTGCTCCTGTTCTTCCTCCAGTGGATAAGAGGCACAGTGTTGCACCCTCTCCCCCTACCGGAGGAGAGGGTTCGCCTGTTCCTAAGAAGCCATCTCCCAAAGTGCCTCCTCGTCCAATGTCCACTGTCATCTCACAGTACGAGGCTAAGTCAACCACACCCACTGCCCCTCCTCCTTCTACTGTCACTAAGAAACCTTTGACCTCAACTGTATCAACTCCGCCTGTAGTGTCACCAACTCGTACTGGTGGAGTGGGTGTGGTCACAAGAAGGTCAAAGTTTGCAGTGTCAAAGCCTGCGTCCACCAATGAGAAACCGGTTGCCATGGAGACAGAAGAACCTCAGAAGCTCCCATCTCAAGTCCTCGTTCCTCCGGCAAAGGTAGAACTTAAAATACTAATAATATTTTTATTAATATTATTATTATTTATATTATTTAACGTTACTTATCATTACTCTATCAATTAGTACAATGGCTCTAGATTAGGGTGGGTGTGTGTGTGTGTGTGTTTTTAAGAAGGACTGAATGTTGTGGACTGCTTTTAAATGGCATACAAGAATGACAATGGTGTGTTTAGGATTGTACTAATGTTTTGTTTTTCATTTCATTTCAATTTAGTAACATTATTAAATTTTATATTATCTTTTGTTTTCACCATTAAAAAATTAATTATTATTAATTATAATTATTTAAATATTATTTCTTTGCTCGTTCTTGCAGCCTCCCACAAGACGAAGTCTAAAGAGAGGGGGCGTGGCAGGAGGAGGAGACAGTATAGATATGTGTGAAGCCTGTCATGAAAAGGTCTTCCTAATGCAGAAAGTACACGTAGAAGGACACTTGTTCCACAGGGGGTGCTTTAAGTGTAATAAGTGTAGGTCCACCTTACAGTCTAAAGTGTACGAGTATGAGAACGAGACTGATCGGTTTTACTGCCGACAGCATTTTAGAGAAATAACTCGACAGAAGTCAATCAAAAGGACAATGGAGGCTAGAGGTATAAAAGCTTTTGATGAGAATGACATACCAAAGAAACAAAAGACCAACGGTGAGTATGTTACTGATAAGAAGAGAGAGGTGACTGTTCCAGTAGCCACACCTACTCCTCCTGAGACAACAGCTGATAAACAAATAAAGGACTCACTCCCATCTTTACTGTCGTCTTTAGCAGCTCAGAAGAAAAAGCAACCAGCAGCTGATGGTAGTGGAGGTATCCCTCCTCTTAGACCTCCTGCCAGTAGAGGACCCCCTCCTTTAAAATCAAGTGTATCGTCTCCATCTGTCGTTAAACCTTTTGTACCTTCCCAACCTTCTCCGCCTACCAATAGACCCAGACCACCAGCTCCTCCCACTAAACGACCAACTGATCACACTCCTCCTCCTCCCCCTAGACCAGCTGCTCCTCCCTCACCCTCAGTCGCCAATAAATCAGCTCCTGTTTCAAAATCAAAGTTTTGGGTAGGCAATGATCCAGCTGGTAATGGATCTTCTCCTGTTACTGGAGTCAGGAAGAAGACAGAGCTACATAAAAATGGTGAGAGAAGTCCTTCTGATGTTAAAGAGACCCTGAGTCCAACCAGACCAGCAGTAGGTGAGTGGTGGAAGAAGAAGGAGAGAGAGGAGGCAGTAAAAGAAGAGAATAAACCAGAAGGGACACGCCCATTCCCTCCACCCACTCAATCAAGTAACCCTCAGTCTGATATAAACCGAACCACGGTGCTCATGCATTATGAGTTTGGCCCCTCCCACTTTGCTAAGAATGAAGGAGCACAGAAAGTACTAGAGGAACATTATGAGTTTCAGCCGAGAGACCATCGTGATTCGGAACCTTCTCCGTATGAAGTACCTCAATCCAATAAGCAGCAGCCTCCCAAACCGGCCCGTGGGAAAAGAAAGGGTGTGGCCAAAGATCAACCCCACCCACCTCGTAACTCTGAAACCTGGAAGAAGCCCTATGCCCTGACCCGTGTTGCTAGTGATACTAATGAGTATGCTATCATTGGACCTGGAAAGACTAAGGCACCTGCTAGGGCTCCACCCAGTCGCCCCGCCCCTTTTGCTGCTCATCAGAAAAAGAAGTCATTGATATCACCTTATGCTATTAGTGAACTGAATGAAGACTCACCAATCAGAGGTAATTATTAATAATAATAATAATGAATAATAATGAGTGTCTTAATTTTAATTTTTAGATAATTTAAAGAGAGACAGACAGAGGAAGATTGAGGAGTACCAGTCTCAGTTAGAAGAGGTGGAGACTAAACTGACCCAGCTGGAACAGGAAGGAGTCAGACTAGAGACACAGATACGTAGTCAAGGAAATGGTAGGTCACATGACTTGAGGAGATATTAATTGTTTGATTGGTGCTAGATGATGATGGTGATGACCAGTTGATAGAGGAGTGGTTTAATCTTGTTAATCAAAGGAATGACGTGGTGAAGAATGAAGCAGAGCTGGTTTATATGTAAGTACCTTGTACTCCTGTCGTAATGAGAGTTGTAGCAGACTAGCAGTTCAATTAGCAGTACATGGCATTGTGGGAATTAGGTACACCTCTTGTGAGCTTAGTTAAGCTTGTTCCAATCGAAATTGGATTTTTAGTTACTCAAAATTAGGACAAAGTCCCTGTACTATTATTGTATGCCATAAATAAAAACGAGAGGATTCTCCCCATTTTAATGATATTGTTATACCTACAGGATTAGAGATTTGGAACTAATTGAACAACACGATATTCTTGAGCTTGAAATAAGAACAAGACTAAGTAAAGATGGTAGGTATTATGACAAAGAGACGTTGTACATCTACTTGTAAATAATGTTTCTTTCTCTTTCTCAAGATTCACTGAAGACAGAATTAGAGAAAGTTGAAGAAGCTACCATGATAGAGGAACTGGTTGAGCTGGTTATGAAAAGGGACAAACTTTTGTGGGAATTTGACGATAATAAATTGAGGTACGTATAATTATTTGTACTTATTAATTAATTAATAGTTAACTTTTTAATAGGGAGGAAGAGACTGTGTAATGTATAACTATTGTACATAATTAATGATTATTATTGTTTTTATTATTATTAATGTTCATGATCAAAGTGTTTCTCTATTCTACAATCATGTGTGATTTTTATGATAATAATTATTAAATATTTTATTTATTAATTGGTATTATTATTATTATTATTGTCAGTTGCAGGTGTCTTAGATATAAATCCAACTTTCATTGGTAGTTTATAACCTACAGATTTGAATGCTTTCTTTGCATAAAGATTATCCTTAAACTCAAAAAGCATTGTCCCTGCTTTCACAAAAGCAACAAAATGGTCGACGTTTCCTTTTCCACTTCCCATCCTCACACCGAGAGGTTTCTTTGTCACTGGAAAGTGTGGAAACACCAGGGTCTTTATGCCGGACTTCTTTCTCCCAAGAACCCTGCCTAGTACAACACGACAGGTCTCAATCTGTGCAGCTGTTATCCTCTTAGGCTCCAGTGCGTAGATACCGTGATCATGGTGCTTAAGGGTAGGGACTGATGGCTTCTGGCCCTGCTTCAGACAGTACAGCATCTTGTGATACTTCCTGAACTTGGTTTGCTTTGGTCTGGGTAGATTTGCAACGCCCCGTATCTATAAAGGAGTCAGTACACTGGGCACATTAGTACAGGACTTGCTTGTTGCATAGGGAACAGGAATTTGGAAAGCACTTTGCTAAAACTCGCCATTTTATTGTGAACCACGCCCCTGCCAATTTTGGGCACACCCATTAGCTTATTTCCCGGGGAAATGACCGCTAAATCCTTATGGCAAAGAAGGGCCAATGATGTTAGAACCAAAGTACTCCTCCTCCTCCTGCTACCAATGAAGACTAGGTAAGTATGTACACAGCACTGATCTGTTGCATGTACTTCAGACAATGCATGGTTTATCACGATAACTAGGAAACAATGATCTAACTGCATTGGCTAGCTAGTATGTGTTGATATTGTATTATTATATATACAGTAGTTGATAGTTAGTAATGAATTGGTAATAACAGGGAACCATGATCTAAACAGTTCAATAGATCAAGGTCTAGACACATAAAATGGAATATTTAAAGTTCCTTATAATGTACACAGTCTGGCATTATTCTGATTTAGTATAAATTGCTCATTTTCAACAGGTTTCACAGTCCACTATACCTCCGACAGTAATGCCATCTCTTTCTGAGAACATACTTGTATTCATAAAAGAAAAGTTCTCACCATCTCAATACTCCTGCCTCAACGAACAGCTGGAACGTTTTGAAATACAAAAACCATTTTCCGGATGTAAAGTACTTTATGCTGCTCCCCTGTCTCTCAATACTTTGGTTGCTATGCTACCAATTGCATTTGGTGGGGCAGACCTCTCAGTGTCCTGGCCTGAGATTACTACTCCTGACGAAAAGGCTCTTTCATTTCTTCAAACCTGTGGAGTCCCTTGCTACAAGAAAGTACCAGATACGCTGTCCTTTGATATAATTTTGGATTGCTGCGGTGACCATGCAGCAATTGAATCAACAAGAGGTTATGTTGAACTGACAAGAAGTGGCCTGGCTCAGTATCACAATCTCAAAGGTAAAACCTGTTTCGATGTAGATTCAAATCCGGTGAAGAATATAGAAACAACTCTTGGTACAGGAGATGGATTAGTAAGAGCACTGAAACAGTCTGGCTATCTGGAGCTGCAAGGGAAGGAGGTGCTTTTGTTTGGTTTTGGTAAAGTCGGTAGGGGAATCACCAGAGCTCTCCAGTTAGAGGGCTTGCATGTTAGTGTCGTTGAGCTAATTGAAAAACCACAAAAGTACAACCAATCCACAATCAATTGGATCAGCTCAAACAGCAAGGAGCGTGTTCTTTCAGCTGTTGGAGATGCAGATTTCATTGTTACTGCTACTGGAGTCAACGGAGTAATTCAAAACAACTACCCCATACAACCATTTCTTGATAGCAAGGCAATACTGATTAACATGGGGGCTGTGGATGAGTATGGATCAGACTTTCCCAACGAAGCAATACTCAATAATAAAACACCACTCAATTTCATACTAGATGAGCCCACTAGTATGAGTTTCATTGATCCAACTTTAGCACTGTATAATGAATGTGGAGCCTTGCTAGCATCCCAATCTTGGGACGAAGGGATACAGCAACCTCCTAACTCTATCGTTCAATCTTTGGTGGATAAGTTTTGTGGTGAGCATGGCTATTCAAGAGAGGAACTCATGATCTAGAGCTCCAGCATATATTCAAAGGAACTGTATAGTTTAGACTATATGCTAACAATAATTACTATAATTGAATATCAAAACTGATAAAATGCTAAACTAATGATATTACCAACAATTTGTTAAAATGCTACACATATACACATAAACAACACCGAGTAGTTCCTAATAGCCCATCCTATCAACAAGATCTATTCATAAAAGGATTTAATAATAATAATAAGTGTGGTAGGACAAACCTTTATATCCCAAACTTTCTGAATTAGTAGTTTTAGTTTTGCTGCCTCCTTCCTATAGAATGCAATCAATCAATCATTAAGGAATGTGTCATTTGGATACTACCTTAGTTTTCAGAGCTGGTAAGTCAAGAAGAACACAAAGTCTGTTTCTTTTCTCCCTAGCATCAGGTAATGGCCCATCCCTATAAAGTTCAGTATAAAGGAGACTGGATAACTCTCATTACCATTGAGTTTCATTTAATATCTCAAATATTTCATTTCCTCTTTCATCTTCAGGTAGTAGGTCACTATCCCCACACATCAACAATGCTTTGTATAGCCGCTCAGCAGTAATACGTCTAACCTGACATTAAAGGAATAAAGACCAATCCTTTAACACTTCTACTTACTTTAGGAAACGAATGACCCAGTAGGAGCATCAGTTGTGAGAAAGATGATTTATTTGCAACTTCAAACTGTAGCAGTCCAGTAAACCTGTGTTACACCATCATAAGGAGACTGCGATTAAAGGACACTTGATACTTACACACAAATACTGTTAAGGATTATGATAGGATCACGGGAACCTTTAACTTCTAATTTGACTCTATCAAGCAGCAAAGCTGGGAAAGAGTCCCTACAAGAGACAAGAATAAGAGGAACCTGTCCCTCTCTCTCTCCCTTACTCTCCAGTATCAGACATAAACAAGTGAAAGGAAGCATTGGTTAAGAGTAAGTCTAGTGTCTTTAAAAGAGGCAAAATAACTCTAAAATTGAATTATAAGAATAGAATTATATTATTAATGAAAAATGAACCTTGGATTCCTTGAGTGTTCATCAAAAATCTTTAAAATTAAAACAGCAAAAGGCTCAAGCTCATCTTTGCTGAAGATGTACAATAGAAAGCAAAACCCAATGAATGAATGTACCTTTTGTCACTGAGATAGTGGAGTAGACTAGCACTGGAGGACTTGACCTGTATATACATAATGATCACATGAGAGTCACATGATCAACTCACCAGGGACTCTGTAAGCCCGCCCACACTAATTACTAATCCTAACAGAACCCTATAGGAATAGGTGTTGAGGCCGAGAGCTTGAACAGTAAAGGGGAATGAGGATTGAGCCACAGACCAATTGATATCCTTAATAACCTCACTGTACACATTGGAGGTAGGAGGAATGTAGACACATTGAAGTACCAATGATACAGGACAATATAGCTAACCTCAGGAATAATAGGTGTAATTCATCATTATGAGGAATGTTAGGTACTGGTGGACTAAAAATAAGAAATACTACAATAAAAATTTATTAAATATTAATTATTACTGGTGTTGCAAAAGTGATATTAGTTTATTGCAGGCAATTGATCTTGTTCTGTCAATCTTCTCATTCCCTTGCTGCAGGAGGTGACCAATCGTCTCAGAAACACTAATAGTAATATAAGAGTCATGTGACAGTCATGTAATCACCGCCCACTCACTAATGAGGCTTGAGTAGTGATGGGTTAGTATCAGTTAGTCTGATACAGAGACTCTCCAGGGCAGACATTGTGGCTTCTCTTACACTAAAAGAAATTACAATTATTATTATTTAAATAAAGCATTACATTGCCGCAATGTCTCCTCTTCTATCAGTTGAATAATCACCGATTGTTTTGAACAATGTTGAAAATACCAGCTCAATCAATGATCTGTTTAGAAAGTGCGTGGGTGGACCGTCAGCTGATATATCAACTTTATTGCAAATACTAGATCAATTTAATATAAAATAGAGGCTACACTGTACACAATCTCTTACTTGCTAATGGCCCTAATGACGTCTCGTCTTGATTCACAGTAAATTGCTGGAACTCCGTCAATATCTGACGCACTTCTCGTCAGTGATTTCAAGACCTATTACCAAATGTTACATCATCATTCATACTCTTCATTATAATTATATTCATTGTTACTGTCAGTAGTTTTCCTTCCAATATTTCTTTAGGCATAGCTCCCAGTGCAAGTGAAAAACCCATTCTTGCAAAATGGAGTTTATTATCAAGTTCAAAAATATACTGCGGCATTAAATGACCTGAAAAAAGTTTAATAATAATAATAATAATAATAATAATGATAATAATAATAATAATAATAATAATAATAATAATAATAATGATAATAATGATGATGATAATGTATATTAATGTACTTTGCACTACACGAATTCTTGTTTGATCCTTTGAGTATTTGCATTCACAAATGACACCAAAAGTCTTTACTGCTTCTTCCTAAACCAGTTATAAAAACCAGTCAAACCAGTATTAGACTGACCCTGATTGACTCCACAGTGTGTGGGAGGTTATCGTTAATTATTGACTGCCACACCTCCAATATAGCGTCACTTATTTTTAAATTAGAAAGACAGCATCTCTCAATATACTTCAACACTAAAGGGAAAGGACCAGTAACATCTGACACACCCCCTCCCTCCCTTACCAGCTACCCTCATTATATCTCCAGTGGATCCTTTGAATACTTTCCTTGATATAGCCTATAAAGTATGACCACATCAGCCAATTAATTAATTAACTTACCCTACTGGCCACGCCTCTAACAGACTCTGTCAGTTCAGCTCCTAAAAATTCTTCAATAGATCTAAAAATTAATATATGATAATTAACTGATATACTCGTTAATTAATTACTAAGTATACACAGTAAAGTCCTTACTGGTTGCTCTCAGCTGCTACTTTATAGAGTCCGTAAAGAACTTCGGCCACTGCATGCAGTGACCCATGACGAAGGCTGGTATCAGAAGAAGTGACGTTAGATAGAACTTGAGGAAGAACTGAAAGAGACAATGAATAGAAAGAGAGAGAGAGAGAGACTAGCGTAATACTTTCATCCATCATGTAGGAGGGGTTGAGAGGAGTTAGAACTGATAGGGAAGCAGCTGCTAATTCACGTATCGTACTATAAGACAGAATCACATTAACCCTAGCTCCACCATTGCTGACTCTTACTGGTCCCAATGGGGAAGCTTCACCTCTAGTAAGTGATTGATAAGGCACTGGGTGTACTCAGTGAAGGATCCTATCTTAAGACTCAGATCCAGGTAGACGTGGGAGATGCTACCAACAGCAAAATAATCCGCCATTGTTAGTATATCAATGCCATGGGGAAAAATTCCTTGTCTACCCACGTTCTCTTGAAAGGCGGCCTAAAGGAAAGAGGATACTCCATCGGTAGTTGTGAGTATGTGGACTTACTGAAGCAGCTCTCCTGCAGTTCACTTCTCTGTCAAATATCATGACGAGGACCAGGCCACTATGAAACACAATACCATAAGATTGGACCACTCTGGGTCCTCTTCATATATCGTAGGGTACATGCCTTTTTTTGAGGGCTATACTGTAGGTTTCACAGACTTAATTTTTGCAAATTTATGCCTGTCTGCCACCTTGTACTGTATTAATTTGATTTTCGCGTAAGCAATTTTCACAAATTTAATAAAAAATCTCGAAATCTGCAAAATTTACAGCCCTTGAAAAAAGGCGCCCTACGATACTTACGAGGCAATGTCTGAGACATAAGGTTTCAATTGTTCTGGATTGTAGGCTCTAGCAAGAGACCATGACACATAACAGGCAGCGTCACGGACATGAGATCCTAAAGTGGGTATATGACTTTAGGGTGTGGTTTTACTTAACTCACCAACACTGCAAGAACCTCTTCTTTCGTCATAAAGTAGAGCTCTCAATATAACTGGAACAACTACAACAATAAAATTAACATAATTGATGTACTTATGCTGGGTAGACAGTTTGAGCTGATTTCGACTTCAATTTTTCAAGTTACGGCCATTGTAAGAAAACGTCAAAATTCTGAAAAATACCCAAGGCTATAGCCCATGGTTTTTTCCAAAAAATGGCTCCGAAATCATCCCCAATTTTTATTACATTTTCTGATACACATTGATGTACTTATGCTGTGTAGAAAGTTTGAGCTGATTCCGACTTCAATTTTTCAAGTTACGGCCATTTTAAGAAAACGTCAAAATTCTGAAAAATACCCAAGGCTATAGCCCATGGTTTTTTCCAAAAAATGGCTCCAAAATCACCCCCAATTTTTATTACATTTTCTGATACATATTGATGTACTTATGCTGTGTAGAAAGTTTGAGCTGATTCCGACTTCAATTTTTCAAGTTATGGCCAATTTAAGAAAACATCAAAATTCTGAAAAATACCCAAGGTTATAGCCCATGGTTTTTTCCAAAAAATGGGTCCAAAGTTTATTAAATTTTCTGATGTGGTCATGCATTGGTGAATATTCATACCAACATCAAGTCTTTCTGGGAGGAGTAGGCCACGCCTACCTAGTTCCGCCAGAGCAAGACACCCTCCATGCCAGGTACTGTCAGTCTCAATTGTGCTGCAACACAACACGTTAAACTGGTTTGACTGGTTTATATTACCTGAAACATTCTAGCAATGAATCCAATACTTCGTTGGCCAGTTCTTTAGGTAACCTACCAGTTAGTCTACCGATTCTAAAGAGAGAGAGAGAGAGAGAGAGAAATCATTAAATGGAGGGTGTACACTATAGAGAGTGCGTCCATTAAGAGTATCCTAACCCTTTCGCAGCTGACCACCTCACAACGGTATCCTTGTCTTTAAGACCAGTCAGTAGCTCTCCTAGTATATTCTCAACTTCCTCTGGAATATCAAACTCATCCTCTTCCTCCTCCTCCTCCTCCTCCTCTTTAGTTCCGTCATCTTTAGCAACCGCTTCCATGGAAACTGTTGACAGTGTCTCTTCAAGAGATCGGCTTCCCCTCTGGTATCGCCATGACAACACTTTGGATGGGAGGAAGGTAGTTCCAAGACGCTGGAAGGAATTGAAATTAAAAGAAGTAAAAAATACACACACACACACACGAGTACTTGTATCAATTTCATGTGAAGTTTCCTCAGGAGTGTATTATTATGATCAGGTAAAGAATATCCTGTCACTAACTCTAGCACTAATGGAGCTATAGAGACCCATCAGGAGATTATTAATTCAAATAATGTTAGCAGTACCTATTGAAAGAACGTCCTCTCTTTTAGCGATTTTAAACAAGGTAGCCTAGGGGGGAGGGAAAGAGTAAAGGTTTTTAGGGTTTTGTTACGAACCAGTGTCTTTAAGAATCCACACTTTTGGTAATTGTTGTCTTCTACTATATGAATATGAATATAAGCCACATGTGTCAAATACATTAATAAATGCTCTCAATCTCTCGTACCTCTAAAAACCAGCTGCCCCCAATCAAGAAACTCTTTCAGTTTGAGTTTCTGAACATCAGGACGTGATAAAAACCTAACAGACAAACATAAGAACCAGATAAGGCCTACACTTGCAATAAGGCCTGAACCATATATGGAATTGAACCATATATGGGGTTGAACCATATATGGGGTTGAACCATATATGGGGTTGAACCATATATGGGGTTGAACCATATATGGGGGTTGTTTGGCTAAACGAGGTTGTTTAGCTAAATGGGCGTTAATTGAAGCCAATGTGAATCATCAGGTGTGGAATGACTGGAACCGGTTTTAAACCAGTTCAATGCGCATTAGTAGTGCTAGTGTGGAAAGGCCTCGCTATAGAGTGAGGGGGAGAGAGAGAGGGGGAGAGAGAGAGAGGGGGAGATTACTTTGCACAAACATGAGCAGCTGCATCTTGTGATTTATCAGAAGAACTCAAATAAACTTGACCAATGGCCATAATCCTGTCCACAGTAGAGCGGGCATGTCTAGTAGGCGTGGGATCCATACGACTCAAATCAAACGGAATCAAAACAATGATTGACAGCCAAAGCAATAACATGTAACGTGTTTCCCACGTCTAATTAAAAGGGTATAGTTATGACCTGGGGGTGTGGTCTTACCAGATAATCGTCCCTGTCTTGTTTCTGTAGTAAAGCCAGGACAAGATCAAGGTCCGATACCTCGTGGGTGAACCATCTTACGATAATCTTAGGACCCCTCAACTGGTTTAAAGTAATTTATAAAAATTGGAACAAAATGTTTCTAACTTTTGAAAACAAGTAGAGATACTTGAAGGCCTGATGCATCAAACTGGAAGGAGCATCTCTTCGTTTGACGATACCAAACAATTTATTGATGATACGTTCTACAAAATGACACAAACTGATCACATGATACCAGCTGGTTAAGGACATACCCAAGTGTGGATCAAGCAAGTGAGGCTGCTCCTGATACTTATCAACAATATCTGAATAATAAGTATATAAAGGTTACACAACAAAGTGGAGGTACACTATCTATGGCCTTATCATACTAGGGCGATAGGTCCGAGGTACTGTATGATAAGACCATAGATACTGGACCAACTTCTGCCATGTACTAAAATAAACAACTAGTTTACTTAGCAACAGGCTGTCTATTTTCAAGCAGGAGCCAGCCGGAGGTTAATAAGTAATTTCCTGGATCCACTTATTAGCCTCCGGCTCCCGGCGCGGCCCAGCTAGCTAGCTAGGTGCATGCAGTAGCCACCCTCCTCCTACCCGGGAAATGGCGGGAAACTACTCATCATACCCTCCCTGGGCCCCAGTGGTAAATCAGTTATTATATGGACCTAGATCAACTTGATCAAGCAATCTGATTGTTCAATTGCGCATGGTATAATAACATTATTATTATTATTATTATCAATTGTATTTTACTGGTCATTCTTTCCAGTGCTAATTCTAATGCTCTAAAATCCTTGAGTATCGAGGGGAGGGCATCAATGAGAGAATGGACTTCGTCATATTCTTCAAAATGATCGTAGACATTGCCATGAGTTACTATCCTCTCCGCCATTTTCTCTGACGCTCTCTAGTCTCTAATATGAGAAAATAACAAAAGTAGTGCTAATAAATAGTAATAATAATGATACGTGGGTGGCCAGCTGGTTTATTATGGAAAACAATTAAAAACAAAAATAATTAACAACAAGAATAATAATAATAATCATTAAAAACATCAATCAATTTTTAAAATACATGCATAATAATATATAATAAAAATTAATTATTAATCAATCATAATAAATAATAACAACATAATTATTCTGATCCAGTTAGTCTTTTACTGTCACAATAATTAGTTTCCCGTTTTGAAGTCCAACGAGTAGGTGAGTACAGACCTTGGACTGATGGTCTAGTACCACTGAGATACACCTGATAGCCACTAGGAGATTCAAACTGCTTAACTGCTTCAAACTAAGAGGAAGAGAATAATAATAACAATAATAACAATAATAATAATAACAACAACAATAATAATAATAAGGCCACTCCAATAAGATTCATAGTTTCCCATTACAGAGGCGGGCCTGATGCGGGCGGGCGGGTTTGTTCATTTTCATTAAATTTATTCATTATCAGCTGTATAAATTGCTTGTATAATCAATGAAAAACCGCAATAATGAATAGCGATGCGGCCCCATGCGGGCGGGTAATGGGAAACAAGGAATCAAATTGGAGTGGCCTAATAATAATAATAGAGTTCATTATATACAAAGACTCTACAGATACTAAAAGGTACATGTAGTGAAGTGTCCTACGTGGTGAGGTCTCTAAAAGTAAGGAACCCTTTATTGTTGCCAGTGATTATGTACTTGCTGACTACCACAATCGCATTGAGGGGCTCAGCCAGTTCCTTCTCATAGAGCAAGTTACCATTGACTGTATAGAGATGGATACAGGGAGGGACCGCTAATGGCTAGAGTATCAATAGAATAACATGATAAGAATATTAGCGTCATCCATACCCTGCTCTTCCCCAGGGGTCCTTGAGAATAGACGAGTACCTTTCCCTGGTTCGATATGATGACATGATGGATCTCACAGGAGTGCCGCCCCCTCGGTCTGAGAGTATGAACATAATGACCCCCTCGAACCGTGTGAATAATACAGGAACCATCCTAGGGGGCAGGCAAAAAATAAAGCACATCATAATATTGAAACAACTTTAGCTCCACTGACGACCATATCGAGTTCAGTACTGATGTCGACACAAAGCACTTCAGAGTCGTGGCCATACAACGTCACTAACGGCAGTTTAATGAGCTCCTGCAGTTAGAGGGAAGAGCATGAATGAACATGTGTATGGTATATGTTTGCCATTATTACATCGTTTTTGAATTTCCAGACAACACAGGTGGTGTCCCTGGAGCCTGTCACCAGGTGCTCTCCTGTCCCACTTTTATCAAGAGTCATGCAAGTAACTATGTCTATTCAATTAATCAAATAAATCAACTAATTAATAAAATGGTTCAGCTACCATTATGGTGAGATATTCTTTCCATCAGTTTCAGTTTGTCAATAGAGAATACTCTAAAGCTGTTATCCCAATGGCCGCCCGTTACTAAAAGTTTGTTGTTTTGTGAAAGAACAAAATTATGAGCCGAAACAACAATGTCCTGAGCAAACGGGGCACCAACCCTCAACCACCTGGACCTGTGGGCGTGGTTAGGGGTGTGGTCATTAAAGTATATTCTAACTTGTCAAAATGAGTGTTTGGATCAAAGTTAAAGGTGAAGGGTCGGTTCCGACTGTTGGAGAATGGAAGCCAGCCATGAACATTGAGCAATCCTGAACCTGTAATAGTTACCTAAAGGAGGCGGAGTCAGCCACACCCACTAGCAACTGAATCTTACGAGTTGCTCTGGGTTTCCACTGACTAAAAGAGCTCTTGTCTGAATGGTGGGAGTCCGTACAAAGACCACAGCCTCTGGATCATTGTTACCTGCACTAACTGATACCTGTTTAAAGGTCATTCATTAATTACAGTGTAGTTATCATGGCATTGAAACTCACGTCAACACTGTAGGCCTTCAGTTTGGAGAGTTTCTCAAACAAGTTCCCTTGAGATCTCTTCCCACCTACCAGATACCCTCCTCTACCAGGGTTCTTCTTTACCTGCTCTTCTGACCACCTTTTGGGGTGTGGCTCCTAAAAGAGAGAGAGGGAGGGAGAGAGAATGAGAGAGTTCGGTTGTGGTGTGTGTTACATTGAATAATTTGGTCGGTGTTTGTCCAAAGTTATTAATCATTGCTTCAACTCTTCGTCGGTCGGTTTCATCAGTTATCTCATCCAAGTTGACATTCTCTATACAAACAATCTTTTCATAAGCTATACAACATATCCACTTTACCTTCATAAGAGTATTTAAGGAATACGTTCAGAGCCTTCTCTGCTTCCTGTCCACTTTGCTTGTACCCAAAGATCAGATCAATCCATTCATTAAGGTGTTGCGAAACATATTCCGACTCCTTTTGTAACAGAAATAATAAATAATGATAAAAAGATGGAGTCATTATGTCCTACCAATGCTTGTCTGTGTTTCTGTATAAAGTCATCAGGGCCATCAGCCCAGGCCGGTAGCTCCACACTATCAATCCTCTTACCATTGTGGACCCTTACTCCTAAATCAAATTCTAAAAAAGAATGAAGTAGCAATGAGGATCCTTTACAATCACTGTCTGCCACTCACTGTTGACATTAGTCAGGAAGTCTGGGAGAAAGAAGAACTCTGGAATAAGCTCCTTAACATCAGAGCTTCCTTTGAAGACATTCTCCCAAATACTAGGAATGGAGAGGAACTGCCTGTCTGCTACATCAAACCTACAAAGCAAGAGCATAGGCTGCTAGTACAATGCTTATTAATGTATTTATTCTTAAAACTCATCGATTGATTGATAATTGTGTACTGTACCTTCCACTCTGTAGGTCAATGTGAAGTGAAGTAAATGGCTCCAATCTGACCAGGTAGTGCAATACTCCAGCTGCATTGCTATAGTGTGATCCATAGTGGAAACTACCCAATATTGGGTCCTGCAACTCTTTATATCTAACAATAACAACAACAACAACAACAATAATAATAATAATAATAATAATGTAACTTCTAACTTGATGGAGAGTCCTTCTCTCAGGTTAGGGTTCTGAGCTCCCATTGGTTGAGACAAGTCCCTGTAGATACTAACGTTAGTCAAATCCAATTCACTTGATTTGAAATCACGAAGAACCCAAGGGAACTATAATAATAATAATAATAATAATAATAATAATAATAATAATAATAATAATAATAATAATAATAATAATAATAATAATAATAACAACATGTCCATACAATGGGATATTGATTAAGGTCGTTGTAGGTTCTTCCTGCGATGGTGTTTAACTGCATTAGGTAATCAAAATTAGTGATTTCTCTCTTTTTCCATTTCTAAATAATTATTATAATAAAGGTGTGGCTGGCCCCGCCCCTTACTTCAGTGAGTCCAGCTGTGGTGATCAGTTTTGATGGTTTGTGTATTCCGACTCTGTTCAGGTTAGGAGGATGGAGGTCAATAATGCTACGATAGATTCGCTGGACAACCTGTGAGAATGAACAAGGTATACAAGTAAGAACATGTACACGTATGTACATGTACATGTCCTTATGATGTGTAGAAAGTTTGAGCTGATTCTGATCAAAATTGGGATTTTTATTCATTTTCAAAGTTGCTCCAAAATCAGCCAAATTTTATGAAAAATAAAAAGAAGAGAATGCTCCATTTTACTGGCAATGTGTATATCCAATAGGAAGAGGCCTAACCTTTCTTGAGGGGAAGTTGATGAAGTAGTTTGTTTGATCGACAAGGAATAGTTCAAGAGCTGTTCTTGACATGTTGTATCGTCGGGAGTGGATCTCCCTAAGGTCCGATAACATGACTTTAAACTCTGGAGTATACCCTAAGGGGTGGAGTCATAATAATCTAAACCACACCCACCAACATACAATGAATGAGCTCCTTCTTTTCCTGCAACTGGTCGGCAAAAAAGAAAATGTGACGATTTGTGATTTCAATTTTTCCGGGAATTGACTCCATGAGCATAATTAGGTTACACTTCTCTGTTCGAACAACCTTCTCCTTTTCTTCCTATTAAACCATAGGATTAGCCACACCCACTTAATCAAGTCCAACCCTAACCTCTTTATTAAGAAGTTGGTCTGTTCCTTCGTTAATCTGTTCCGCTGCCTGTAACAGCAGCTGCTCCTCCTCGTCATAACTTAGTTCATTAGTTGTGGTCCGAGTGGCTTTAGCTAGCAAGCTCTTGTCGTCTTCGCTTTGTTTTGGTATCCTCCCATCAAACTAACAACAAACAACAAACAACAAACAATAAACAAAAACAATAAACAAATGTACACACCATGTCCCTTTGTTTTGCTGCGTCAGAGTGATCATTGTTTGTGTAGAGTCGAGTCAACTTCATTCTCATTCTTGAGAAGTTCTCAGTCCGACTGAGCCCCCACAGGTACAAGTCAGGGATCCTGTGAATCATAAATTATAACAAGAACCCAAAAGAGTCCATACCTGCTTGACCACGCCCCTCTTTCCCCAGTGTAAAACTTTCTAAAAGTCCTCCAGTGGATGAGCGTTGAGATGTGGTCACTCTGGGTCTGACTGTCATGACTCCTCTGTCTCTTCAGCTCCTCTTCCCTCTGCTCTACAAACGGGTTGAGGATGTTTGCCTCGTAGTCCTCAAGGTTCTTAAACATGGAGTCCTTTCTGAGCTGATCGTTAGCAAGGTAGGTATTGAGGGCTTCCTTTCTTTTAGTAGCACAGGTGGTCAGCCAAGGGAAGAGAACAATATTGTATTGGGCAGCTTTAGGAGTTAGCTGAGAGAGAGAAGACAAATAAACAGATACAATGTACATGTACCATTGCATCTCTCTCTCTCTCTCTCTCTTACCACTGTCTTATGAAACTTGACCCATTCTGGTCCACTGGCGTAGCTAATAAACTCTTCTCTGAAGTTAGGACTAGTACTGGTACTGGGCAGTGATGGTAAGTGATCTTTGAAGTTAATGATATCTTTTGAATGAACTAGTATCTCTCGAATGACAGCAGCTACATGTTGCATGTGATCAGAATCAACTGGAGATATTAAAGAATGTTAAAATCCTCTTGCATCAATCATTATCATTAATACCTTGATCTGTTCTGCATAACTGGATCAGTGAGCTCACGTGCTTTAACACAAAGAAGACATCTTGCTTATCAATGTTACCACACTGTATGATGCCTAACAACCTGGTAGCAGCTGGTAGATAATACTAGTGAGGAGAGGTGGAGGGAGTAATGGATGAAACATAAATACATGTATAATTATTACATCAGGGTCAGAGGAGGTCAAGCAGCCAATGAGTATCCTGACGAGAGACTGAAGTATACTGAGTTCATCCGACTCCTTGCACTCACAAGTGATGATCTGCATTGTGACCATCATATCCAGATACTGGGACAATAACTAGTGGGTGTGGTCAGGGGTGTGGTCTCATGATGGTATGGGAGTGGCTTACTTGAAAGGAACAATTCTGTTTATTAATCTCAAGAGCAATGTTGTGACTGCACTCCTTTATGGTGTCTACCGATTCCTCTATCTCATAAACTAAAAACAAGAGACACTGAAAAGTATGAGCCCTCCCTGTCCCTTACCACTGCTGGTCCGTAGGCAAGAAGGATAGGAAGTGATGGCAAAGGTTTCAAACAACTGAGTTAACTGGAGTATTAGGGCTTTCATTTGGGAATGAGTAGAATCTAAAAATAAATAAATAAATAAACAAACAAACAAATGATATACTTACTATTGCTTTTTATTTCCAAAGAGACAGCATTGATCAGTAAAGAGAAGAGTCTGTTTAAAGCATCAGTTAATTTCAAAGGTCATTGGAAACTAACCTTTGCTTTATAATGTGTACAGGTGCTATGAGCTCATGCTGTTTGGCAAACATGTCAAGAGAAGTGAGGAGACAGCCCCACGTCTGCCAGAGCTTCCTCTCCTTCGTCTCTGACCAAAGGATGTAACCAATGGTCTCCGTGACAACAGCAAAGGTACGAAAAGTAGGATCATCTTCGTCATACATTAACATCCAGTTGGAAGAGATGGGAGGAGTTTCTTCTAATGGAGTATCATCTTCTAACAAAGAACCCTGATCTAATGAAGCATCCTGGTCAGATGGGGTCCTTCCTTTACTACTAGGAGGAGGGGCCTCATTAGTGGGTTCTATCCTGCACAGCAACCAAAGGAAGAGGCTGTCCCAACCAGGGACTGATGTAATGGAGTTGATATGAGATGGGTTGAGATGAAGGACTGATATAACCTGCTGACACACCGTCTCTCTTATCACTAGCGAGGCACTTCTGAGCAGCTGCAACACAGCAAGGTATAGTGGGACGTTACTAATGTAATCTGGAGAGAGAGAGAGAAGTCATACACATCAATAACTATATCTTTACCAGTTAGGTCGGTGGTTTTGGCTGTACAAAGTTCTAATAATGCCAGCACAATATTGGAGGGAACTGAATATTGAGCCATTTGACAAACAGCAGCTGTCAAGAGAGAAAAGGTAAGAACTTGTGACGGTAATATAACTGTACCTGCCAATGCTCCAGAATCGATCCTTTGATATATAGGACCAGTTCTAGTGTGACCATATAACTTCAATAAACTTGATATGATCTAATTTACAATAAACATCACAAATAAATGTACACACAATCTATTAATATTTAAATTACTTTGATTGCTAAGAGTCGGACAGCTTCACTCTCAGCTTGAACCAGCACCATCAGAAACAGACCATCACTCCAGAGGTGCTGGGCAAGGTTCTCTGAGCTGGGACGAGAGTTTAACATGTTCCAAGTCAACCCTAACAGCTCCTCCAACTAAATAATAATAATAATAATAATAATAATAATAGTAATAATAATAATAATAATAATAATGATAATAATAATAATAATAATAATAATAATAATAGTAATAATAATAATAATAATAATGATAATAATAATACTAATAATAATAATAATAATAATAATAATAATAATGATAATAATAATAGTCTCTCACAATAACAGGATCTTGACAGGCAGTAATGAATCTTATAATTGAAGTCACTTCGTCTTTCCTTGTGTCATTCATGAGGTAGAGTTTAATGATACCCAGTAACGCCCCACGGACCATTAGCACGTCCGATTGACTCAGGGCCACTACATCGTTATTTGAGGGGGCAGTGCATGAGGGAGTCGGTGTGGCCGTGTTGCTATAGAAACACCTAATGACGTCAAGTATGAATTGAACACCAAAAGAGTTTCTGTAATGCTGAGACTTGGCTTGAATTAACGTTGATATGTACTGAAGGTGCTCTATAATTAGAAATGTAAACAATTATCTGTTTCAAGAAACATATGCCAGTATCTGTTGAATTATAATGTTGAAATGCATGTACAGTGAACAGTAGAACAGTTACTGTATTAGCTAGCTGTCTTGCTTACCTTTTCTAACCTCTATGTCAGGGCGGCTCCATATTGAGAAGTTAAAGAGAAGGTGTTGCTCAATGTCAGTGAACTGATAAGAGCCTGAGAGTATGTCGGACAATCGCTGGATGGAAGCTAGGAACTGCTGAGTCAGCAAACAAGGAGATACCTACATGATGTGTATGTTAATGAAGGAGAGTGGTTGGTTATATAAAAGTGAGTACCCCCAGCCACTCAACCTCTCACTGATACTAGAGGTATATTCACCACAAGGTCAGTGTACATGAACATGTAGCAATGGATGACGTACTTTTCTCAGTAATGCTCCTACAGTAGCTGGTCCCTGCCTCAAGAAGAATACCTCCTGGTTAGTCGAGTTACCGTCCAACATGGCCGTGAGGAGGAACAGGAAAGCAGCAACACCTTCTTTATCTGAGAGAGAAAGAGAGAGGAGATGAATAAAATGGCTACCATTATGCTGTTACCATTAAAGACAGAGGTTAAGCTACCCCCAGGGAGCAGCTGGTCTATATCACTGGCCGTTTTAGTCTTTCCTTTGACTGGTTCATGAACTTTAAGAGGAGAATCTACTTGTTCCAGTAAAGGGAACAGCAGCTCCACCCCTCCCAGTGAACTCAGCACGTCCTAACGATGTGTAGAAATAAATATTAATTTAATATTAACCACACCCACTTTAACATCCCAGGTTACATAAGGATCACCGTAGAATAGTCCAGTGTGCTTCTTTTCAGAAATGTATTGAGGAGAAAGATTAACACAAAGGTCATCCCGACAAGCCTAAGAGGGAGAGAGAGAGAGAGAGAGAGAGAGAGAGAGAGAGAGAGAGAGAGAGAGAGAGAGAGAGAGAGAGAGAGAGAGAGAGAGGGGGGGAGGGAGCATTCAAATAGATCATGATGCATGTGCTCCTGGAAGGATTCTTGCTTGTCTCTGACACTAACTTTTGGATGATAGTAGACTAATACTTTACTGGCCAGTTCACTCGTCTTATCACAATTCGGTTGAAACAAAGACAACAGATTAGTACCTACTCAACAACATATACAGCAAGTAGACTATCAGTGTATCAGTACCATAATGGAATAAAGTATTGACATTCACTGAAGAAATGGGCTCAGAGAATATACAAATTGAACTCAAGAGTCCTCCTAAATGAGTTGCCTGTCCCCACTTCTCCTCCAACTCGTTGGCAGGTATTGTACTCACGCCATTGAGTGACATTATACCAGCATTGAGACTGGCCTCGGGTTCAGTGTCTATCAATAAATATAGAACGACCACGCCCACCAGTACACTTACCTGATTCTTGATCCAATTCACTGTAAGAGCCTTGAAGGATGTCACTGGCAGGGAGGGACATTGAAGAAGTGGTTGGTCTTTTCTGTGTCACGCCAGAGCCACAGGATCCAATGAAGCAGTATCGATATTTCTAATTAATGCACACAAAATTATATTACCTGGTAATACAAAAACTCAAATGGTCACTTAAAAAATTATAATTACATGTACATGTACCAGCTGCAAGTATATCATTAATAATATCCAAACGTGCGCAAGCTAGTATACCTCGTTCAGTCCAGGTGCTTTCAATACGACAGAATCAACGATTGAGCCATCAATGTATACCTGAACCTCTTTGTTGAATAACTTAGCATTTTGATGGACTATACAGACACTATGCTGGAATAAAATGATAATAATAATAATAATAATGATAATAATAATGATAATAATAATAATAATACTAATTACCCATTCTGAAGATCTGAACATTGCTTTGTAGACAATATAGGCGTGGAACTCTCTTTTGGTTGTCGTGGCAACTACAAAATTCATGTTCTCAGTAAAGAAGGCTTCATAGCCAGTGCCAGACTGAGTGTAGAAACTAATAAAAACAGAATTTATACGCATCAGGAAATTGAGAATTCTTAATTTTTACAATTTTTCTTATGCATGTAGATGTACATGTACTTATGTTGTGTACAAAGTTTGATCAAATTTAGATTTTTTATGAATTATTAAAGTTGATCCTTTCCTAGTAACTTTTTGGTACAAGAGTGACCCTACCTGTAGAGTATCCTCCTGCAACGATACATCTTCTCTCCAATTTCAATACTGGCAGGTCTGCCGAGAGAAGAGGGGGCGTTGAGACAGACCCAGGCATGGAAAGTAAAGCCACTTGGGTTGGGCCAGGACTGGAGGTCAGGTATAGCAATGTGTGATGATGGCTGGCGTAGATCAAAGTAATACAATGGAGTGACTCCTTCTTTAGTCTGAGCCATGCTGCATAACGACTGCTGGAGTCTGTAGTAATAAGACGGGAGGTGCTTGTCTTCAGTCATTCTCAGTGCCCCAATGATCTGCTTCAGTTCAGCAGTGACAATACTGTGTGACCCTAGTACCTCAACCAGCTGTATTAACTGATCTGAGAGAGAGAGAGAGAGGGACATCAGTAGTAGATCATGTGTGATAATAAGGCCACATTATAAGCACATGTACATTACTTCTATAAAAACACATGCAATATCCATTGTAAGTTATACTCTAACCTTCAACATCAGGTCCAATATACTCCTTGAGTGACTGAGAGACAGACAGTACATCAACCACAACCCTCAATATTCCAACAGAGCAACACAACTGTCTGTTGTGTATTGCTAGGGTACACAGTTCAAACAGATTAGCAACCAACCAGCTCCGTAGAGAGGAGGGAAGGGTTGGTATCCACTTTAGTAACATGGCTATCATTGATGTATTGTGAATGGTGAGACTGTCTTGTTGTGGTGTAGTGAACTTAGTCTCAACAGCCTGTGCAGATAATGACAAGCATATAAACAAGTAATGTTCTTAGTTATTCAATAATTATTAGTATGACATTTATTTCTACTCTAAAATATTCAGTTGCCATGAAGGGCAGCCAAGAGTATCTTACAATGGTCAGTATTTCTCTGAGTATTTCTTCAGTTGGTGATGTCATTGCTGCCAGTAGCTTCCTCAGTCTGTCATACCCCACCCTCTGCTCAAAAGCATCCTGGGCCGTTGGGCTCTGACAAAGAAGGTTACCAAATCCTTGTAACACGCTGCAACAGAGCCTGGCCCCTAACAGGGGGTCCTGAACACAAACAATAATAATGAAATATTGTTGTTATCATGTTTCTACATTGTTTGCTGATTCTCTTAGCGTGTTTAAAACCTCTCCAACCTTCTCCATGACAGCTATGTCTACCAGAATCTCCTACAATATATTAAATAATGGGTGGAGTCAATGACTATTAGACCACACCTTCAATTCCAACTCGTTAAATGGAGGCTTGCACAAAACAGAAAAACAATCTAAAAACATATATTAATTAAACCACACCCACTGACCCACCCACTCACGTAAAATACTAATCACAAGTTCTGAATGTGGCGGAACTAATTTATCATTCTTCCACCTAAAGAAATAATTATGAATGGGCGGAGTCAAGGAAAGTGTGGCCACTAACCGTGGTGAAAGAATATTTAGTAATATTGAGACAAGAACTCTGATATCAATGTTAGCAAGTAACTAAATGGTTATTAATAGTTATTAATAGTTATTAATAGCTATTAATAGTTATTAATAGTTATTAATAGTTATTAATGGTTATTAATAGTTATTAATAGTTATTAATGGTTATTAATGGTTATTAATAGTTATTAATGGTTATTAATGGTTATTAATGGTTATTAATAGTTATTAATAGTTATTAATAGTTATTAATAGTTATTAATGGTTATTAATAGTTACCTCTTCAGGCACATAGCAGTGAATGATGTGAATCATTTTGATGGTAACACGAACTGTTAGCACTTGTAATGGAGAACAACTTTCCCTTGGCTCAAGTAAAGTGTAAAGGAACGTATCAGAAATCGACATTACAGCTAACTGGGCATTATCCTTTAGAGGGAGAGGCAGAATTGGAGTGATTTATAAATACCATACCACAATAGTAACCGTACATTGGATCCCGATAGAATAGCCCCCAGGAGATGAATACATTCCATTACTAGTGACTGGTATTCAGTATCAAACTTCCCACACAATATCTCTGATAATGTAGTGCAACAGCCTTTAATACAATTACATATTGCACATTAATTAATTATTCATTTAATTGTTTTTGTTACCAATAATTGTCTTGAGTATATCTTGTGTGACATGAACTGGTTTCACTAAAGATGAATCAGCTAACGGCTTGTTACTAAAAATAATTAAATAACATTACTAAAAATGAATTCAAAATGAGAGTACCACATAAGTACACCAGCATAACTACATGTACAGGTACAAGGAATGTTAAGAAGGTGTCCACAAGTGAGAAGAGATGGATAAAGACTAAGACTATTAGTAGCATATCTTACATGGAGAGGGCTGATACCCACTGGTGCCTTGGATCCAGTAGGACATGAAGAACAACCATACCATTACTCATGGTCTCCAGGAGTATCCTTAAACAAAGAGAGAGAGAGAGGGAGATTGAGTTACTCTCTGTGTGTGTCCTTACTTGACATTTTCATCAGTTTGAACTGTTCTACTCTGTAAAGATGATGATAATAATAATAATAATAATAATAATAATAATAATAATAACAACAACAACATACAAGAATAGCTGTTAGAGATGTATTGCAGATATCAGACACGACATCAAACAAGCGAGAATTTGAAACTATCGATATATTCTCATGACAACTAGAGAAGAGAGAGAGAGAGGGGGGGGGAACAAAAAGAAAAGCACAGTATAGGTACAGCAATAAAAATAAAAAACAAGACATACCAAACTATCTTGTACAAAACTATCATTAGACACGGGAGCTGCCTGAGACTATTAGCACTAGGTCCTCCGGAATAGTGTGAGGGAGACTCTCCTCCTTTGAAAACCCTCTGGCTCCCTTGATCCAATAGAACTCGGTGGAAATGTAACGCTAACTCAATCAATGCTGGGAGGACACCTTGGGGACGCTGCTGTAGTAGCCACTCCATACCAGTCTCTTCAAATCTATAATAATTGTTATTGTTATTATTTGTTTTGTATTATTATTATTATTATTATTATTATTACGCCAGTGATGGAAGTAGGTGTGGTTCTAATCGGAATCTTGACTGAGATTGAGATGATACAGATCCGTCCAGCCAGAGGTCGATGTACTTACATAACGTGTCCAATGCAAGCTATAGCAAGAGAGAGAGAGAGAGGTACTGAAAATAATACGGAGCCTTTTATCTAATAGTCTCTATACCGAGTCTTCTCCCCTCTGCTTGCAGGCCTTGTAAGTTTGCCATATCATGTTAGGGTCACCCAGGGCTCCTTTAGAGAGCCTAGAACAAGGAGAGACGGCCATTGGTAGAGCTTAAACAAGACATTTCAATATGTACCTTCTCCTTCTATCACTCATCTCTTCTATTGCTCTGCAAATTTTACACACCACGCCCAATCATAATATCTGGTCGACCACACCCATTAATAATTATTGGGGAGACACCCACTTTTCAAAAATAGCTAGAGGACTATAGGACATTATTATTAATTTATAAGATAATTCCACACATAATCCGCTCAATGAATGTAGGCCAGCCACTTATAAAAGTATTACACACTGAATGATATAAAAACGTCAGTCAAAGAAATAAATATTACTGAATTCTTTCTGGCATATTTTCCGAACTTCCTCTGCAAGAAAAAGAGTGAGAATTAGCTGAGAAGATAAAGATTACCATTAACTTCAGCAAAATTGACATCTTTCTGAGTGAAAAGGACAAAGAATCGTCTATGACCGTTCTTTCTAGCTACAATCCAATAGTCAGCAATGGTCCGAATCACTGTCTCTCCCTCATTTAGCCTAAGCAGGTGGACACATTATTAATAACATTATTAATATTATATATATATAATGTTTCATGTCATTTACTTGTCATATTCTGCATTGAGTTGAGTGAGGAGGCACATCATGTCTTGAGTTATTGAGAGGTAGCTGTTGTACCTTGAGAGCAATGGACTCTTAATGGCCAGGTTCATCTCATTGAAGTAGACCATACGATAGGGCTGCTTCTCTACACTGAAGAGAGAGGGAGAGGGGAGGAGGAGTATAAAATGAAGAGATGGTTAATTGTGCCTTACCTCTGTGATCTATTCCTGGATACAAAGTCTCTTATCTCGGTCGTGAGGTGCATCAGTCTAGGGCCAAGGAACACACTGATCCTCTTTATAAAGTCATCACCAGGAGAATCATCAGCTTAAGAAGAGAGAGAATAATTATTAGAAGTAGCAACAAATACATCTTGTACTTACTTTGAACAAACATGCATAAAACACATGGACCAACCTACGAGAGAGAGAGAGAGAGAGAGAGAGAGAGGAGGGAAAGTTTTTAAAGTACAGCTGGAGTGACTTACAGCATAAACAAAGAGTCTGGAAGGAGTTAACATTTGATTGATCATGACATATACCCATGTGTTCTTCTTGCCACCTGTTTCATCTTCCAAAATAAAACTATAATATTATTAATAACAATCATCATCATCATCATCATCATTATTATTAATAAATTACCTTCCAGTGTTTGGACCAGCAGGTACACTAGGTATGCCACTAGCCTGATTAAAAAGGTAACATCATTCATAATACGTTTAATATAATAATGATAATAATAATAATAATAATTCATGTTAATCATTCAGTGATTATACGCTAGCTGTACCTCAGGGTTAGGGTTGTGTCTTAGCCATGAGTCGTAAAGGTACTGATAAAATATTCTGGTATCTTCCTGTTCTAAGCCACTCCTACATGAACGTCAAGTATTTAAACTAGAGCATAAACTTTGTTTAATTTCTTACCACACTAGCTGATCTCCGCATACAAAAACTGTCCTCTTGATTTGTCTGTAATAATAATAATCACGCTTAACACACTGCTAACACACTGTTAACACACTTAGCCAACAAATAGCTTCAGTATGTTAACACTCATTTAACACTGTGCTAACCTGAACGTAGTCTCAACAAGATTAACAAAACAGTGAACCTTGAGGTACATGTACTTGTCCAATGGCAGGAAAGGTATACCTACAGTGAGTGAGAGCAGCTGGTGAAGGTATCACTGAAATACCTTGAAGAACTGAGAATATATTGTGACGGGCTATATCGATATTCTTCCAGTACTACATGAGAATGAAATGAAGTTGTTCTATTCTGTAAGGTACTTACTCTGCTATAGAATACATCCAGTCTCTTCTTGAGGCCTTCAACTGATTGAGTGGCTTCTATCCCTCTCATCGTGCCATTGAACAGCTGGAGAAGATAATAATAATAATAACAATAACATTGATTTATTCTTGTAATAAAACAGTCTTACCTTAAACATGTTATATGATCTCTGCAGAGCAGCTTGAACTACTGAATCCTACACAGAGAAGGAATTAATGATTATCCAATTGCACATTATAACTATCAACCACATGAACATGTACAGTATTGAGTGACCAGGTACATGTACAGTAATGAGCGTGTGTGTGTAGTTCACTTGTATGAGGTGTTCATGATATTCCAGAACTCTTTCCGAATTATGAATGGTTTCAGAGCACGGAATGGTAACTGTCTATAAAAAAACACCATAAGAACTTGATATCACATACTAACAATGAACAAATAAGCAAAATATATGTACACATGCAAACTATATTATCATTATTGTTTACTTAATACCAACAGATTGGGAAATACTTTCTATCAATAACAACTTCATAAACCATAATATACCATACACAGTGTCGCCCCATTGGTCTTACTAGTGTCATCCATATCCCTGGCTCTGGCTCCAGGAAAGCTTGTTTAGTTTTCTGAGTGTGGACAGTCTCGCACGGCTTGTCTGGGGAGAAGGTTTTGCAAAAGTTGACGAGAGCCTCACAAAGCCCAATGTTCCTAATCTTCCTGTTCAGTTGGGCTGTATCAGGGAAGTAGAACAAGACCTTGAGATGCTCCTGAAGGATAAAGGACTAACGATGATCAATCTGTCATTATAATGACTCACAGTCCCTTCTTTAGTGCTCAGCTCGGGACAGTAAACAAAGAAAGACTTGACTGCTGCCTCTTGGTGGGTAGCCATTACTAGCCACACCCCTTAATAAACTGATTGAGTGAGACACGCCCACATTAATTAACTAATCCAATTCTGCAACTACAAAAAGTAATGATGATTATCACTAAAGTTCAGACTTTATTTATATGAGATTGCCATATCCACCTTCATGACACATTTGAGTTTTTTATTTTCTTCAAACTCTAACCGAAAGAATGTCCCTGGAGCAGCTGGGAGACCACAGGGTGGTTCCTTACCTGGCATGCTACCATATATGGAAAAAAACTCTGTCTCAATCGTATACACAATATGGCCGTTCTCGTACGAAATTATTTTGACTCCTTCTTTGAAAGAACTCATGGCAGTCTGTGGAACAATAGCCCAGCCCCTTGGCGTGTTGAACCCAGGCATTGGTAACCGATCTAGAGCAACGTAGTCCAAGTTCTTCTGTAAATCTTCCAAAGATGAGTCTGGGGTCACTCTCATCTTGAAGCCAATGTTAAAGTATGTTTTAGAGCTTTGATCATGAATGAAAAGTGCAGCCTCATCCAATCCTGGTATGTCATATTCCACTAAACCTTTCCTCGGGTTGGACTCCTTGAATTCAAGTCTTAGGGTGTAGTTGATGCTCTCCAGCCATTTCTCTACTTCAGATATTATGGATTTCACATGAGGAGGATACTCAGCTGGTTCAGCCATTTTCAACTACCTGACCTCCTTGGGTGTGGCAACTGACAACTGTATGTACTGTAGCTTAATTTTGAATAGTAGAGTAAATGAAATTATCGGTCAAAGTGGCTTTTGTCAAAAATAAACAATAGAAAATTTTCTATTTTTATAATTTTATAAATATGTACATGTTTTTATGTTGCGTAGAAAGTTTCAGCTGGTTCCAATCAAATTCTAATTTTTTATAAAATTTTAAGCTTGCTCCAAAATTGGGCCAAACTCCCTGTACTATAGTACATGGTCTCGGGCCAAATTTTATCAAAAATGAAAATAGAAAATTTTTCATTTTTATAATTTCTCAGATGCATATTCATGTACTTATGAAGTGTAGAAAGTTTGAGCCGATTCCACCAGTCAAAGTTAGATTTTTCATGAATTTTTATAAAGTTTCTCAAAAATTGAGCCCTGTGCTATAGTACAGGGATTTTGACCAAATTTTGTCAAAACTAAAAAGTAGAGAATTTTTCAACCAATTAACCCACAATTAGCTAACAAGTAATAAAGACATAGTCTGTTTATAGTTTGTTTTGGCTGACACTTAAAGGAATCACTGCATCACAAAAAATTATAAATAATTTAGATCTAACAGCTAATCTTTAGTATAAACGCAGCGTGAGAGATGGCAGTCACTGAATCACTAATATTAATAATAATATCTTCTTGCTTTCTAGTCCTAACTAAAGGTATGTGTAATCCAGTATCAGTTCTCATTAATTTATGATTAGCTCAAACGTGTAAATATGATGGAGAAGTCCAGTTATCTGGAATGGGCTTCAATACTCCTGACAAAGGGATTCTTTTTGTTTGTAAAAATAATAAAAAACATTCTTTATGCTCCACTGAACATGACAATAATAATGCACAAGCTGCTTGCAGACAACTTGGATTCATCGAAGGGAGTTAGTACAACAAAATATCTTTTAATAATATCTAATATATATATATATATATATGTACTTTCATAGGAGTCGTTGAGTCTAAACGGATAAAATCAGGTAAAACCTTTTCCCCTCTCATATTCTTTTGCACTGGGACTGAGGACAGGATGGCTAATGGTGGCTGCCGAAATGCAACTTTAAATAATTGTGAATCAAATCGAAATTTTATAATACAGTGCTACAGCAGTAAGTACCTTGCATTAAATAAAAATGAGCTATTATTAATTATTAATAATATTATACCTTAGGATTCATTTCTTTTCTATCCTTTGAAAGTGAAACAGATGCTAATGAAGCCAATCACAGCTTTGAGTTGCCTTTTCCAATTCAAATTGGAAATTCAAACGTATCAACAGCACGTGTAAAGATTAAATATAGAATAAGATTATTATTACTTTTATTATTATTATTATTATTATTATTATTATTATTATTATTATTATTATTATTATTACAGATATATAATCATGGATTGATATCATTTGGTGACTACCTTTTACAACCCAGTGATCCAAACATTGATTCATACATTACGCTCCTTCCATTCTTCTCTTGGGGCCATCGGCTAACATTTGGAGGAGCCCTTTACCATACAGACGTAGAGTCATACCCTTTCACAATAGTCAATAGGTTTATTAGTAATTCTACTGGAGAAATGTTTGCTGCTTCATTAATACTGGTAGGACAGTGGAGAGGTGACTCGGTAAGAATTAATATCAGCACATTATCCTTTTATCAATTTTAAATTAGGGATTAGAATTTCAAGCAATAGTTGCCAGCAATGAGACGACTACTCGTGTCATTTTTACTTACCTGTGTGTGTCTAAGTTGATACCTCAAAAAGCTGATATTGGATTCAATGTGCCAAATTATGAGTCAAAGCATTTCAGATATTCTGACACTCCTTATTCGCGTCAAATCGGCTGCATAAACAAGCCAGTTGATGTGGACTATTTCAATCTACTGTACACTCTAACTGGTACATGCTTATCCTTTACTAATGAACTCTTTATTATTTTAATGATAGAGAGAACTAGTAATGGCTCTCAAGGTGTGAATCCAGTAAGAATGTCAAACTGTAGTGAAGTGGGACTTCTTAGCGGCTGTTGCAGGCCATTTCAAGATCCGACTAAGTCATGTCGATCAAGAGGCGGTTGCTACTGTGACTCATTATGCTACAGGTATAATGACTGTTGCCCTGACGTTGGGAGAGAAGGACTTGAGAAACCATGTCTACCAGGTAATGGCAAGTTTGTATTGCCAATCCCAAGGTTGTGGCTAATAATGCTCACACTTATTGGCAGCTGCAGACAATACTACTGCTATTATAACTTATTGCTGATGTTTTTAGTGTGTGAGAATGGAACTGTCAATAAAGAAGGCAACACTTATTTTAACTCAGGAGTGTCCAGTATATGCGTCAATGGAATGCAGAGGTAAGAGTTAGTATTATTATTTATTATTATTATTATTATTATTATTATTATTATTAATAAATCAATAATGAGACCTTGTATATAGGTATATAGCCAGAATGAATGGTGGCGCTACTTTTCCATCAAGAGGAGTGTTTTGCCAGCAGATAAGAGATCAAATAAACGGATCAAGTTAGTTATAATTTACTGAAGTTGAAATAATTTTTAAGCAGCTAATTTGGAGCGTCTATCAGAGCAAACTTTATCACAATTTTTTGTTGATCGAGACAACTTGAACTGTAATGGTTTTGAGAAAACAATAGCCCAGTGTCCTTTTCAAGAATTACAGCCAAGACTTAGTCGTGAAGCAGCTGCCCTCAAGTGTCCATGTAACCTATAGTTTGTATTGATTAATAGTTTAAGAATTATTAATAGCTTTAGATACTGAGAGATGCACGAATGGTGAAGTTATGTTAGAAGATAGTACAAGTTCTTCAAAAGGTTTTCTACACATTTGTGTCCTGAACAAATGGAGAGCTGTTTGTACCAGTATTCAAGTTAATGCTGCTAGAGTAGTCTGTTCCCATTTATCAGGACACAATAGCAATAATGGTAATATACTTTGAATATTCAAATTATCCTCTTCCTGTAGCAGTAACAGTACAAACTTTACCAGTCAATCAGCAGCCACCTGGCATCACTTCATTCAGCTGCATCTCTTCTGCTACATCACTCGCCAACTGTTCTTTTACATTTGATGATTGTCAGCAACCATTCGTTCAGGCTCGTATTGACTGCAATGATCCCTCGGCTTCAAACAGACCCCCTCCTCCTACTCTGTCTGCTTCAACAAGGCGCCCTACGATTATGCCGTCTACTCCAAGTAGTTTGCTATATCTTGTAATTTTTGATAACATTATGTGTCCACAGTTTCTTCCTTGCTTCCAAGTCTTAGACCAACTGGTACTAGTAGTGATGGTAATGGAGATCTTGTTGAAGTGGTAGGATACATTCTAGGGACTTTAGCTGGTGCAGTTATCATCATAGTGGTTACTATTTGTTTATTTATTGTTATCATGAAGAGGCAGAATAAGAGAGATCAGCAGCAGCTTGAACTGAATGAGTTAAGATATCAATTCTTACTGTTTGCATAATTTAAAATATTTGTAGGATGAATGAAAGTACTCTCCGATATGTTCGCAACTTTGTAAAGATGACATCCTCTGATAAACTATTCACAAGTAACAACTGAAGTATAACACGAGGTTTTAATGATAAAAAATTAATAGGAGTTGAAACAAGCTTAAAACTATTGGAAGATTTCAATTCAGCAGGTCTTATCATAGACAATACTTCTCTAAGACTGTTAGACAGCATTGGCCAAGGTGAGGGTTTACTTATTGTATTAATACACACACAATTGATCAATCAACATGCATAGGAGAGTTTGGGTTAGTGTATAAAGCTCATCTCTTTGATGATCAAGGAGCTCCTATTGATGTAGCTGTCAAAACACTAAAAGGTTTAAAGTTTCTAACCAAGAAGATAGTCACTGCATGTGTATCATTTTAGGGACGTATGATCAAAATGATATCAATAACCTTCTTTTGGAGAGTTTGAAAATGAAAGAGCTGTCACATCAGAATGTGATGAGTATCATTGGTGTCTGTCTGGATGCTGGAACTGCTCCCTTCATCATACTACCATACATGTCAGGTATTAATAATGGATTATAATGCTCCATGTTATTTAATGCTTTTAATACCTAATAGGTGGCAGTCTGCATTCTTATCTGCAAAGGAACAGAAACTCAATAATTCTAACAGATGATGCAATAGATCCAGTAAGTTAGTTAACCAGCCACACTTTATACATCATATTGTGAATGCATAGGAGCAGAAGGTGGGGATTCAACTTACATCAATCTGCCTCCAGATAGCTAAAGGTATGCAGTACATAAGCTCAAAAGGTATCATACACAGAGACTTGGCAGCAAGGAACTGCATGTAAGATATGAATTCAATGCAGTGCATGGTGACATGAACTATAGGCTTGATCATAATGGAATTATTAAAGTGGCTGATTTTGGTTTGTCAAAGAGTCTCTACGAGAAATTGTACTACAAGCAAGAGAAGGATGAAACTGTCAAGCTGCCTGTGAAATGGATGGCAATTGAAAGCATCAATGATGGAATATTTTCTGAAAAATCAGACGTTGTAAGTCAAAGTATCATGTAATTATTGCTACAATTTATCAATAATGAAGTGGTCCTTTGGAGTGACGTGTTGGGAGGTGTACAGTGGAGGTAAGGTCCCTTATGGTGGGCTGAGTCCTATGAGTATACCCAAACTACTGGAGGAAGGACACAGGATGAACAAACCAAACAATAATGCCTGCTGTGACAATATGTAAGAATGAACTTATCTGATAGTATTAATAATAATTATTATAAATATAATGCTGCAGGTATAATGAAATGATGCTTCAGTGTTGGAATGCATCCCCTGAAGAGAGGCCAAGCTTTCTTAACCTGCTACAAAAGATTGAGAGGATTTTGATGTCAATGGCCAACTATCTGGACATTAATCAAATGTTCACTTTACAAGAAGAAGAAAGCACCGAAGCTTGAGTATCATGAATATTTGAATGGTGACTCTTTGCAACAAGTGTTTTTAATATTGTGTGTATGTTGTTTTGAATCAAAATTGATTGGCACAAGATCTAAGTTAGGAAGGAAAGCTGAGTTTTCTTTGGCTGACATTGTTAGTCAATATTATTGCACATGTGAGGCTTCAAGGGAAACTGCATCACTCACTGTCCATTCATGTACATGTATGGAGTAGACACTGTCTTATTAAAAATAATTATAAAATATTATTAAAAAACATAATAAAACACCAAGATATAGAAATATTCACTTTTAAGTGATGTCATTTGTATTGCTCCTGGTCTCTCCTGATTCCGTTGATAATGTCAATAGTTTGAGGCATTGAACAATCCCACAGCAAAAGGATACCACAGCGAAACAGTTTATCTAAAAAGACAAGACCAGATTGAAAAAATAACTCAAAAAATAATCAGAAAATAGTCAGACAAGAGGTGAGAGGTTATATTACTGGTTATAGAAGAGTCTGAAGAGGTTTCTGTTGTTCCATTGACAATTGGTCTAACATGAAATCCCATTCCACACGTTAATATCACGTTTACAGCTCTTTCATTAGCTGCAATACAAGAAATAAAATCATGTAATTATAATACAAAGATAGAGTCAGTTATGAGAATTGTATAAATCAGAAAATTATTGAAAAATACCCAAGGCTATAGCCCATGGTTTTTTCATAAAATGGCTCCAAAATCACCCCCAAATTTTTATTACATTTTCTGATACATATTGATGTACTTATGCTGTGTAGAAAGTTTGAGCTAATTCTGACTTCAATTTTTCAAGTTACGGCCATTTTAAGAAAATGCCAAAATTCTGAAAAATACCCAAGGCTATAGCCCATGGTTTTTTTCAAAAAATGGCTCCAAAATTACATCAAATTTTTACTACATTTTCTGATACATATTGATGTACTTATGCTGTGTAGAAAGTTTGAGGTGATTCCAACTTCAATTTTTCAAGTTATGGCCATTTTAAGAAAACGTCAAAAATCTGAAAAATACCCAAGGCTATAGCCCATGGTTTTTTTCAAAAAATGGCTCCAAAATTACATCAAATTTTTATTACATTTTCTGATACATATTGATGTACTTATGCTGTGTAGAAAGTTTGAGGTGATTCCAACTTCAATTTTTCGTGTTACGGCCATTTTAAGAAAACGTCAAAAATCTGAAAAATACCCAAGGCTATAGCCCATGATTTTTTTCAAAAAATGGCTCCAAAATCACTTCAAATTTTTATTACATTTTCTGATACATATTGATGTACTTATGCTGTGTAGAAAGTTTGAGCTGATTCCGACTTCAATTTTTCGTGTTACGGCCATTTTAAGAAAACGTCAAAAATCTGAAAAATACCCAAGGCTATAGCCCATGGTTTTTTTCAAAAAATGGCTCCAAAATCACTTCAAATTTTTATTACATTTTCTGATACATATTGATGTACTTATGCTGTGTAGAAAGTTTGAGCTGATTCCGACTTCAATTTTTCGTGTTACGGCCATTTTAAGAAAACGTCAAAAATCTGAAAAATACCCAAGGCTATAGCCCATGGTTTTTTTCAAAAAATGGCTCCAAAATCACTTCAAATTTTTATTACATTTTCTGATACATATTGATGTACTTATGCTGTGTAGAAAGTTTGAGCTGATTCCGACTTCAATTTTTCGTGTTACGGCCATTTTAAGAAAACGTCAAAAATCTGAAAAATACCCAAGGCTATAGTCCATGGTTTTTTCCAAAAAATGGCTCCAAAATCACTTCAAATTTTCATTACATTTTCTGATACATATTGATGTACTTATGCTGTGTAGAAAGTTTGAGCTGATTCCGACTTCAATTTTTCAAGTTACGGCCATTTTAAGAAAACGTCAAAAATCTGAAAAATACCCAAGGCTATAGCCCATGGTTTTTTCCAAAAAATGGCTCCAAAATCACCCCAAATTTTCATTACATTTTCTGATACATATTGATGTACTTATGCTGTGTAGAAAGTTTGAGCTGATTCCGACTTCAATTTTTCAAGTTACGGCCATTTTAAGAAAACGTCAAAAATCTGAAAAATACCCAAGGCTATAGCCCATGGTTTTTTCCAAAAAATGGCTCCAAAATCACCCCAAATTTTTATTAAATTTTTTGATACATATTAATGTACTTATGCTGTGTAGAAAGTTTGAGGTGATTCGGACTTCAATTTTTCAAGTTACAGCCATTTTAAAAACTAATCATCATTAAAGTCAGCTATCAGTAATTACTTGTAGTTTTAATTGACTGTATACTGCGGATTGGATTGATGTGTCTCTTGGTGATGACCAGAGGACTCCCTGTAGTCGTATCAAACACTATCATGTGACCAGAGGCTGTCCCCACCCACAGGAAGGACTTGTTCCCGGAATTATAAAGATACATTGCCGTCACTCGTGAATTATAGACCCCACCTTCAATTGCGAGAGATCCCTGGGGACTGCAAGAGAAGAATAATTGTAATTATAAAAACTTTGAGAATAAAAGGGACTGACAATATAAATTTACTGCATCATAAGACTTACTTTTGTTTGGCTAGAGATGTGAACACATTAATATTCATACTGTGGCTACCATCTTCAATATCCCAGGCTTGTATGAATGGTCCATTGTGATATGAGGTCCATACAAAACTATCATTAGCTTCAATGCAGGTTAAGAACTTTCTAGAAGAACTGTAACAAAAATTAGAAATTATTTAAATTTTTGACACAATTTTAAGGCATAAAAATGCATGTAACAAAAATTGATGATGTTCTTAAATCAATTCTGGCAGAATAAGATTCAGTGTGATTGACTCACTCTTCACAAGCGACCCATTTAAACAAGACCTTTAATTCTTTTAAGCTGATGACAAACACTTGCAGTTCACTGATTACGTATAAACGATCATGGAGTCTCTTCATTCCTTTGATGGGGCCTCTATTGAGAAGAATATCAACCTCAGGACTAGCGTTAGGAGTCTGTAGAATATCACAAAATAATAAATAAATATGTATTTATATCAACGTACCTTTATAGATTGTGAATCAAAGGCAACCAAGTGACCATTAGCCAATCCCATAAAGACATAGGACTTTCCTTCATAACGTCTCCTAGAAGATGAAGTGGGTGGAGTCATTACAAGACTGACCACACCTACTTTACATAACAAAAGCAAAGGACGGAGTCCTCCAGTTTTGCTAGTTTGTGTTCTTTCCTGTTCCTCTCAGTTCCTCCTCCTTCAGTTGACCCATTTCCCTCAGACACAATAACATGGCCGGTATTAGTCCCCATTAGTATCCAGTCTTGATCCACTATTAGCATACAATAAACCAGGGTATTCTGGGGAAGCATACGGCCCTGTTAGGAAAGAGAGAGAGAGAGAATTAAGAACATTTTAAAGTTAAATAGTTTATCAATACAAGGTAACCTGAGGTTGAGCTGCTTTATCAGTAAGATTAATCACTGATAACTAAAAGATGACAAATATTAACAAAGACACATTTATCATCATGTGCTGTACCATCGACTGCTGGCCGGCATCACAGCTGGTCAACCAGACCTCAGTGCGCACTCCATGCTTCTTGTTCCCTTTTGGGTGATAGTTCTAAAAAAACAACCCATCCTTAAGATAAAGTAACTCAATGGAATGTGATCCATTTAAGGTGACAATCATCAAACTTCCTTACCCTAACAGTGAAGGCAAGAACTTCCCAGTCTTCATGTATTGGGACTACGTGTCTCAGCGCCATGAAGTCTGGCATACACATCCGATCAAATATATCTTGAGCCTATGATTAACCATTAATTAACCAGTAGTTAATTAACCAGTAGTTAATTAACCAGTAGTTAATTAACCAGTAGTTAATAACTCCTCACCCTGGGTCTGTTATTAGGTACGTACTGGAGACAGTGTCTGATGATATCATGCATGTCAGGCCAGGGGGCACCCCCATAATAACTGGGATCCTTGATCAGCCGACCCTATAACATTAATAATAGTTAATTAACAACTAGTTAATTAACCAGAGTACCTCTTCTACTGCCTTGTCCTTCTCGTGGGGCATTAGCTCCTCAAATGGTGTATGACCATCAGTGACAAGTTGAAACAAGACGATACCAAATGAATAAATATCCACCTGCAAATGAACAGTATAGCTAGACCATTTATTCATGGTGCACCTACCATTGTGTTGTATGGCATTTTTGATGTTTTTGCTTTGAGTATTTCTGGTGCCTTGTATCCTGCTGTTCCAATATCTTGATTTAAACCAGTTGTTGTGGCAAATGTTGATATGCCATAATCAGAGAGCTTAGCATTAACCTTTGAAATAAAGAAGGAATCTTAAACTTACGTGTACAAGAACTTACTGGAGAATTTAGACTAAGAGAAAATATGAGAATGTTACTGGGTTTTAAGTCACGATAAATGATGTTGTTTTTGTGAAGAAAAGCTAAAGCACTAGCTACCTATGGAGAGAGAGAAAGGGAGGGAAGGAGAGAGAGGGCAACAGCTGGTCTTACCTGCATAGCAATCCTGTGTTTGAGGCTAGGACTAACAGTACTGTATGGACTAAATGAAGAGAGTGATCCTAACTCGGCATATTCTATCAGGAGCATCGGCTTTGGTCTCAAACAGACTCCAACAAGACCAATAATATTAGGATGATCCATTTGACTCAATATGGATACCTAGAAGAAACAAGAGTTATCATGAACACTGTAAGAATAAATCATCATAGGTGTACTTACTTCTTGTCTGATGAGTTGGTTTGGTGTAGTACTGTGGAGCTCAGCAACACGTGGTGAGAAGACTTTAATGGCTACGGACTTCTCATTATAAAGAGCTTTAAACACTTCTCCAAACCCACCCTTCCCTAGCACTGTGGCTGGACTGAGAGAGGGAGAATAAGACCAGCTGGGTAATAAACTTACTTTCCCTCATCCATTACAATACTGTCTCTTGATACATGATACTGAGGATCAAGATCTGATATCAATATGTCCGGGGACTATTAAAACAGGTTAATTAACTATTAATATATTAACTGCACTAACCAGTAATTCCAGTGGCACAGTGTCTTTATGTATTGGACACATAATCTCGTCTTGCTTCAGTGAGATCAACTGCAGTTCTCTCATTGGGAAAGCATGTATAGAAAATGCTAATTATCATAATAAATTAACGAGCAGTCATTGGGTGTGGTCAGCTATTACCTGGACACAAGGGACAGAGGGCAGACGGGCTGACCAGTGCATCCCCTGAGGTGATGCTAATGCTCCGTAGACCAGGAAACCATTCGTCAATGAGAGTCTCAACGTTATCAACGACAGAACACAGCAACCTTAAGAGGTACTGTAACAATAATAATAGAATTAATAACTGACCTTATCCCCAGGGTAGTATTAGGTACTGTTATATCAAATTCATTTTTACTTGATTCCAGCTGCTCAATCATGAAGTACGCATGCTGACAATAAATAAATAAAAATATTCACAAATGATAAATATTTGAAAGAGTTAAACTCACGAGAGACCAGAAGCAATAGAGTCCACTATACCAGTGGGAGATTGTGACTGCCTCGGGTAACTGGAATAAACAGATGAACACATAATTATTATTCATTGATTAATTAATTAACATGATTAATGAAGGATGACTGACCTTGATTGCTTTTTTAGGAAATGATAACAGTCGGATGATAAGGCGTGGCCAGAACCCAGGGGGAATGAATATCATTTTATATCGTCTTATGATCTTATCTGTGTTCAATAATGGTTATTAATAGTTATTAACAGTTATTAAAGTGCTAACTGTCTGATGGATGTAGAGTGATTGAATCTGGTTTCTCTTTTGGTAGGTAGGAAGGAATGAGAATGAGTTCATTAGAATACTGCAAGGCCACGTCAAACCTTAACAATAATAATACAATAATTATAATTATACTCGTGTAAACTATTGGTCCAGTTACCATTCCATGAGACGAATGTATTCAGAACTGAAGTCAGGAGGGAACTGGGATCCTCTCAGTATCAGTGGAAGATCCTTTTTACGTAGCATCTGTTTATCAGAAGCAGATCATAAAATATATGCACATGTCGATCTTACTCCTTTTGATATGATGGTCAGATGTTTCATTGTAATGATCTTAGCCATAACAGAACAGAGCCACTGCGGATCAAGAAAGTAGAGGTCAGACAAATTAGACTGGATGTCGTCGTAATGGAGTAGAGTCCCACACTCGTGGAGGAACTTCACTGCTTGTTCCAACTCAATACTGTCCATGCCTTGGGTCAGAGAGGAACGTCTCATCAATTCATCTAATTGACTCCGACGAATAACACGGAAATTACTTTTCACTTTATTGAGCCGGCGAGACTCCTCCTCTAGGATATTAGATAGTTCCTAAAATGAAGAGAAAAGGTAACAATAATTATTAATTAATTTGAATCAAGTTAATTACCAGATAGCTAGCTGGTACTAGTTCCCCCATTATCTTCTGTCCTCTTAGCTTTGCACTAAATAAAAAACAACATTATTCCACAACTTCAGATTAATACATGTACAAGTACAGTGCCATGGGGTATGGTGGTACTTACCTGTCTATCTTTTCTTTGATTTTATTTCTCAGATGATCAAGACCAGCTTTCTGTCCAACACAACTCACTTCAGCAAATGTGACATCATGCGGGAATCCTAAAAGAATTAAGAAAACAAAGTTAACACACTTTAAAGCAATAATTAGCATTAAACATTAGGTTCTCTTAACATGATTTTAACACATTCTTAACACACTATTAACACGTGTTACCTGGTTTGGTGATGATCTCATTAATATTCTGTCTCATGTTCTTCCTAACACTATTGAAGTGATCTGAAAGAATTATTATTATTATTATTATTATTATTATTATTAATTATCGTGATTACCATCAGCAATCATGTCCCTGTGGGTCCCTACTACAATGACGGGTGAACCAGGAGCTCTGGCCTCAATATTCATTAACCAAGGGACCAGTCCATCCAGTTCTGACTCCGCCTTACTGATGTTGTACGCTAACTAAAAGAGTAAAAGTAATACAGAATGCCCTCCCCACACACTGCCTGCTGCCATGCTGCCCCTTCTCTTACAATGTAGATGGTTCTTGGCGTCAGGAAGCACTGGTGGGTACTGTAGAACTCCTCCTGACCAGCAAAATCCCAACAGTTGATAGAGTACTGAACACCAGGACGCTGCTGGTAGCTACAGTACATACATGTACATGTAATAATATGTATATTAATAACTATTAATAACTACCAATAACTATTAATAACTAACGTCCATTTCCTTATTTGGACTCCAAGTGTTGCAGTGTTTTCAATTTTTGTTGACTTGTCATTAATTATGTTGTGAAGCAAGGTAGTCTTTCCTTTAGCAGCTGATCCAACGACTGTCAATTTCATAACGTGACACGGTTTACTCTACAAACCAATCAATATCAATGATCAGTATCAATACCACTGATCAGTATCAATCAGTATCAATGATACAATCAACTAACCTGAGTTAGCTTAGCTTTAAGGTAGCGTATGATGGCTCTAGCATTCTGGGTCTGGTCAATATCTAAATTCTTCAGACCCTGCAAGTTTAACTACAGGGGGGTATGATGAATACATGTCCATCTTATATCAGACTAACGTAAAATAGGAAATCAAGTTTTCCCATTTCGTTGGGAAGATGCCTGATGTCTTTATTGTGACTGATGTCAAGAGAAGTGAGTGTTTTTAACTTTCCAATATCAACTGGTAGCTGATGAAGAAGATGAAATAGTAATAATAATAATAATAATAATAATAATAATAATAATAATAATAATAATAATAAATAATAATGATAATAATAATAATAATAATAATAATAAATAATAATGATAATAATAATAATAATAATAATGATGATAATAATAATAATAATAATAATAATAATGATAATAATAATAATAATGATAATAATAATAATAATAATGATAATGATGATGATGATGATGCTTACTTCCTTTAGTTTGTTTTCTGATAGAACCAGGCGCTCAAGATGAGGCCAGAATTTATTGCAGTCACTCAAATCAAGCTAAAGTGATATATCAGTATCAATATCAGAATCAGTATCAATAACAGAATCAGTATCAGCTTACTGATGATATCTTGTTGCTTCCTAGTATCAAATGTTTCAAACCTCTTGATCTCCACATGTAGGGAGGAGGGATGGAGAGGAGCCCATTGCTAGTCGCATCAACTGATTGAATACTGAGAGAGAGAGAGAGGGAGAGGGGGAGGGAGAGATTAATATGTACCCTGTTAATTCATGTGACATACACTAGAGCTGTTTTGATGAAGGTCTGAAACTCGTGTTCTTTCTCTACCAGTTTATTGTGACCAATCTTCAAATCCTGCAATGAACAAGTGTATTCTGCAGCCTCACCAGATATAAACTCTAAAAACAAATAAGCAAACAAATAAATAAACAAAAAATAAACAAATAAATAAATTAATAAGATTGTATTATCCTAACCGATGCAGTTTCTTGATGCGTCAAGGACTTTGAGTGAGTTCAAACCAGCCAAGAAAGCAAAAGGAAGTTCTACGATTGAGTTTCTGCTAATGTGCAGCTCCTGGAGACTCTTCAATTTAAGGTCTTTATCCTCAATCAGTGATATAGAATTACTATACACCAAATACCTCAGTATGATAACACAGGTACAGTGCGTGGGCGTACCTGTTTAACATTAGTATTCTCAATGCTGGGAACTGGTCTCCATTTAAACCAATTGGGAAAACAGTTAAACTATTATTGCTCAAATTAAATTTAATCAAATGTGATAGAACAATTTTTTCTTGAGGGAACTCCGCTATCTAATGAACCACAAAGTGTCACATGACGAATGAGTCACATGCTCTTACGCTATTCCCGGCTAGATCCAACTCAACAAGATTGGAACAGAGTCCAATCTCTAGGGGCAACGAAATGAAACAATTCTGACCCAGCTGCAAATTCTTGACTTGAGATAATTCCTAATAATAATAATAATAATAATAATAATAATAATAATAATAATAATAATAAATAACCTCAAACAGAGCCTCAGGTAGTCCAGTAAGCTTATTCTGTTTCATATCCACGTAGAGCAACTGCTTCAGTTTGGCCGGTATTGGATCAATAACTAGAGTATCCAGTGACTCCAGTTGATTGGCTGATGCATCAATACTTTTAATATAAAATGAACCAGAAGGTCCCCCGGGGGGACTGAGGGCAGCTGCCCCATCAGGTTGGTCTGCCCCTTCATCAGTTGAACTAATTAAAGATGATAATAGCTCTGACCTCTTGTCCTTAGGCATTGCAGTAATGGAGTCCAGTAATGTATTGTACTGAGTCTTTGAAGTTCCACCCAATGCGACCACACCTACTTCATCACTGGACTGAAAAGGCGACGATGATCTTGACTGAGATGAGTTTATTAGTAGAGTGGGCGGAGTTGACTGTCTCTTACTCAGCTGGTTTTTAAAAACTGTCTTCCTAACGTAGACGGGACTAAAAGTGTCTCCTTCGGCAGCCATTTTGTTACAGGCTCCACTGGAATGAGGTAGATTGGCAGGTCCCTGTTGCTGGAGGAGGTCTAGCGTGTTAAAGGGGAGGTAACTAGCACCTGTTGTAGTCTTTGAGATGAAGGTGTGTCTCCGCTGAGGGACACGCCTACAAGACTCATCATCTCTGCTAGCAACACTGCCCCGCCTACTGTCCTGTCCACTGCCCCGCCTACTGTCCAGCCCACTGCCCCGTCTACTGTCCAGCCCACTGCCACCCCCACCATCAACCTCATCTTCTCCAGTCCCACCCTCTTTAGCCACGCCTTCTCCAGGAAAACTACCTTGAAATTGTTCGTAATCTGAAGACACCAGTGCATCAGCTTGTTTGGGACTGAGAGGAGGTTCTTTCACCACGGGGACAGGGGAACACACCACGGTTGGCAGAGAGGGAGGTCTTGACGCCATTAGTCTTCGCTGTCTCTCCTTAACGTAGCGAGAAGGAGTTGAGGAAGGTGGTGATGAAGAAGTATAATAAACTTCAAATTTATTAGCGTCCCAAGACTTGGCTAGTTTATAAGCATCTTCAGCTTCAGAAGGTCTCTCTGGAGTAGACCCGTACCCTGCTGCTGGGGCCACGCCTTCTTTATTAGCCACACCCCCTCCATCAACAGCGTCTCTTTTGTCTAAGGAGTCCTTATCGGGTGAGGTACCTGTTGAGCTCCTCCTCATCAGTCCAGAGAGAACATAATCCAAACTGTTCTCTCGTCTGTGACCTCTTGATCGGCCGGTGGCCCTTATACCAAGAGACGGGTAGATCCAAGATGGTTTTATCACTTGAAGATCCATTCCTCCGATATTTAGAATACTTTTGTCCTTATCTAGTCCGAGGGCCTTTAGCAGTAGTCCAATGATTGGGTCCAAGTTCTTTCTCTTTGCTAGAACGAAAGCATCTTTCAACAGCGTCCTGTTGGTCAGTCTTGATTCAAGGACAACCTTCACTACGTCAGTGGAACTGATCGAAACTGCTTGATAGATAGCAGAGTCTGCTCCATGAGGATCATTACTGCTATTGACGTCAGCTCCGATTCTAACAAGTAGTTTAATAGCCTAAGAGAGTAGAGATATGTCAGGTGACACTGGGTCATGTGACCATAAGTACCTCAATCATAGAATGCTTCACTGCTGAGATTAACATCTTCTGTCGACAGTCCTCCTTCAAGCTTAGACTATGAACAACATCAATAGCCAATTCATATATCACTGGAAAAATTAATAAATCAATAATACATCTAGTTTAATATTGACTGGCAGTTTAAAGGTAAATGTTCTAACATACATTGTTCAGGGTTGTCAGTGTCAGTATTGTCAAACTGAAGGTCTTCCAATGGTTTGCTGTAGAGGAGTCGAAATATGTTAGTATCAACAGCAAATTCAACTAATATCTGGGGCATTAGGTTAGGACAGGACTTACATAAACTGCAGGCACAGACCAAAGCCTATTAATAATAATAATTATTATTATATAAATAAATAAATAAATAATATTAATATAAATAAATAGTAATAATAAATAATAATTTGAGAGCTACATGTAATTTTTGGAAAAAACCATGGGCTATAGCCTTGGGTACTTTTCAGATTTTTGACGTTTTCTTAAAATGGCTGTAACTTGAAAAATTGAAGTCAGAATCAGCTCAAACTTTCTACACAGCATAAGTACATCAATATGCATCAGAAAATGTAATAAAAATTGGGGGTGATTTTGGAGCCATTTTTTGGAAAAAACCATGGGCTATAGCCTTGGGTACTTTTCAGATTTTTGGCATTTTTTAAAAATGGCCGTAACTTGAAAAATTGAAGTTGGAATCAACTCAAACTTTCTACACAGCATAAGTACATCAATATGTATCAGAAAAGTTAAAGTGATTGCAGTAGCAATTCTTGCCTCAATGGTGAGTGTTGGTGATTGCTGTGTAGGAGCCAGGAGGCTGCACAGTGACCAAGCTATCTTCCTACAGTCCCTAGGGTAGGTGCTGAGATGATCCTCATCCGCTAGTATGTGTATCAACATCAGACACTTGTAGGTAATGGCTGCAAATGGAAAGAATTAAGAATATTAAATATACTTCACAGCAACAGGCTTTATGTACATTCTCCCATGTTCCTGTCCAATATGGCGATTAGCTCTCTAAAGATGCCAGACTCATTAAAAACAGTGTGGACCTTCTCATCTATTAATAATAAAATAATATAAATTATACATTAAATAGTCAATACTGACCTAACTGAGCGAATATGATGAGGAGTTCAATGGCACTTTCAACCAGCACAGAGTGGGTGGGTTTGTACTGTATGAGGTTCAACACACGAGCGTGTACATTCTGTTGAATAGCAGCTGCTCTGAATCTACCTGTGAAAGGAAATTATTTAAAAAAATAATAATAATAAGAGTTGAGCAGCTGAAACACAAGTATCAATTTAGCAGGAAATGCAATAAAATTGAGAATTTACTACTTTTAATTTTTAGCTTGTAACTTTCATCATCACAAAGTTTGTGCAAAAAAACTCATTAGTTCCATTGTCACGAAATCCGTGACAGCAAAAACCCATTAGTTCCATTGTCACGAAATCCGTGACAAGCAAAATTTGTGAGAATGGAACTAATGGTTTTGCTTTAAAATTAATTAAAAACTATGCATCTGCAAGTACATACATGTACATGCATATGTGATTATTATGCATCAAATAGCCATTTTAAATTCACCATTATCCGAGAGACAAGCCATCACTCCAAGGGCCTCAGCAGCAATATCAGGAGCAGCTGTGTGGTTATCGAGTATGTCGATGAGGTCATATATGGCTTCAACTTGAACAAGGAAGTCCTTCATACCAGAAGAACTAATAAGAGATATCATTTACCAGATCTCTATGTGTCTTACCCTGGGGACATTATTAAAGCCAGCAGTGCCCTACAGCCATACTGCAAACACCTTTCAAATCTAGGTTCCTGTATACCTTTGAATCTCCTTAAACCTTCAAAAATGGCAGAAGCACCTCCTTTATCTAAGAGAAGCTTCCTCAAACGATCTACAATTAAAGTAAAGCAGCATGTAGGTAAAATCCTTTTGTCTTTGCATGTGTACACAACCCTTCTTATAATGATCATGAACCATGGACATATTAATGTAACTTACCACTATCCACTCCAAGGTAATAAACAGCTAAACAAACTGACTCAAAAACTTTATATTGCTGAGTATCACTGAGATTGGAGAGCAACACAACCCAGATCCAATTGATAATAGGAACACTGCACAACCATGAGATAAACACACTCAAATATAATTATCATAAAATACCGTATTTCACCAGCAGTACTTAGAGATGATTCTTCATTCCCTCCTCCTCCTCCTCCTCCTCCCTCTCCTCCTCCTCCTCCTCCTTCTCCTACAAACATGTGCAGCTGTGGACTGGCTTCAAAGAGGCCCCCGAGACACCTACAGAAAGCCTCTTGGAACTCTGTATCGGACCCATGAACCTCAAAGACACTCGACATAAACCGAAGGAGGTCCTCTAGTCTGAGGTGGTTGGTAATAAGGGGCAGACGAGAGGAGAGGTAGCTAAAGAGCGAGAACCCATAAGCACAGAGCTGGACTGACTCTTTATAATGGAGCTGGAGTGAGGAATAGACCAAAGAACTAAGAGGAACTGATGCTGCTAGCTCCATAAAATCTGTCGATTCTAAAAATAAAATAATAAAACATAACTGAAGCTGTCCCTAGCTCTTATACCAGTAGAGGCCAGTGACTCAATGACGCTACAGAGGCTGGTAACAACAGGAACGTCCTCTTGGTAGGACTGAAGGTACTCCAGTGACAACTGAAATAGACTGGACTCAAGAAGAACCTGTTTGCAGCGGTCTATAAGGAAATGAAAGGACAAAGTAATAACTTTGGGAGTGAATGAGATGAACAACAATAACAACAATAACAACAACAATAACAACAATAATAATAACAACAATAATAACAACAATAATAACAACAGAGATAGAGTGTACTTCTGTCATGTCTAGTTGCAATCGACCAATCAGATTGCTTGATTTCTGATTTGATTTGTTTGTCTGGAAGGTTAATAAGTAACTTTCATTAACTTTATCAACTTATTAAGGTTATCTAATCAACCTCTGGCCTAACAATCCTCCTTGTGTGATAAAGCAATAGATACCTCACAAGTATCTTCTTGTACATGTACAATGTATATGTACATGTACATGTGTATGTACATTAATGGCTGAGTAACAATCACTGGAGTACCCAGTGTTATTAATATTGTGACAGTGAATTGTATTAAAGTATATGTGTGCATTGTATGAAGGAGGAGCTGTACCTTCTGTTGATATTAGTCTAAAGACAAGAAAAACATTACAAACAATCTCAGGATTGCTGGAGTGAAGTTTCAATACATCAAACAAGATGGAGTGGAAATTTAACTGAAGGAGATTTATATGAGCGAACATATCTAGAGAAGGAAACACAAAGCAATCACAACAAATTGTAATTATTTATTATTCTAATTAAGACACAAAGAGTGGGCACTTACGATCCCTGAGAACATAAGAGAGAGCAGCTGTGCTGCCAGTCACAATATAAACGTCAGAGAGATTGTTCCTAAGGACACCTGCTATGTCTAAATAAGCCTGAGACTGACTTAACTCTTTACAATAGAGAGCTACAGTGTAGAGAATAAGTAATAATAATAACAACAACAACAACAACAATAATAATAATAACAATAATTCTACCATGCCTACTTGCAATTGACCAATCAGATTGCGTCCTACGAGGTAAATATAATCGCTTATTTACCTCGCCGAGGTAAATATGGCCAACTTATTAAAGTCGCCAAACAGGTTTTCTTAGTTATTTACCTCGCGGACAGCCCGGGAGCAAACAGGTTTCTAATTATTTACCTCGAAGCATAGCTATGGCGTCTGGAATAATCATTTTTAGCAGAGAAAGCAGCAAAGAACATCGAAAAGAAAGAAATAGAGCCTCAAAAGCATTGGGCCATGTGATAAACTTCTTAATGGGTGGAGTGGAATTGGAAAGGCGTGTTCTGGGCGTGTTTTACTGTACACACATGGCGCGAGTGAGGAAGAGATTTT